ATTATCGACGTATATGATATCGCAAATAGTACTTGGTACAAGCAGGCTACCTCCGGTGTAACTCCTCCCATTCGTGTTGATCCTTGCGCTGTCGTTGCTGCTGCACCCGACGGTAGCAGTTTTAACGTTTATTTGTATGGAGGACAAAATCTGATTCCATATGGTAACCAAACTCAATATTCCGATATGTGGATTTTAACCATTCCATCCTTCACTTGGATCCAAGTCGATATGAAAGACCAGTCTCAATCGTTACCCCCAGCTCGAGCAGGCCATACGTGTAATCTTTGGGACGGGCAGATGGTAGTTGTTGGCGGCTACGTCGGTCAGGATATCTCGTGTGATAGTCCTGGTGTATATGTCTTCAATACATCGTCACTTCAATGGACCAATTCCTTTACAGCTCTCTCATCATCATCTTCTTCTTCTTCTTCAGACCAAGACTCCGATATCGTTAAAGGCTCGACAGGTTATACCGTTCCCGACATCGTACAATCTGTTATTGGCGGTTCAGGACTGGGAGGCGCGACAGCGACTATACCTGCAGCAGGATCAGCAACTGCCGGTCCCTTAGCAACGGGAAAACCACCTACGTTCACAGTAACACAATCCCCATCTACAATCACTTCTACTTCTACTTCTACTCCAACGTCATCTCCAGACTCAGACAAAAAAGGACCAAATAAAGCAGCTATTATCGCCGGTGTCATTGCAGCTGCATTAGCTTTTCTAGCTGGATATTTGGCATTTTGTACTTGGCTTTATAGGAGACAGTTGAACCTTTATAAAGATCATGTGGCGATGTCGCAGAGAACGGCTTTCGTGCCTGCCGGTAAAATGTTTAGGGGCTCGGGTGGATCAAGTCGAGAAGATAGAGCGATGATGCTGGGACCGTTTGGGACGGACATCAGTGGCGCAGGTGGGGTACAGACGCCTAGTGTCAGGTCTGAAGGGGGAGGTCTCTCGAGTTCGGGGAATGAAGGAAGTGGTAGCGGTAGTGGGAATGAGGATAGGGGAGGGGCAAGTGGGAGGGGGAGTGGAACGTATGTTTTTGGAGGCGGTATCATGCCGGGAGGAGCATCTTATCAGACCATTGATGAAGAAGATGAGGGGGTTGTAATGGGGGGGAACGAGAGTGTAAGAGCGGGATGGAGAGGTCATAGAAAGGGAATGGGGAGTGTAGGAAGCACGGGGAGTATCACTAGTAGTTTGGAGGATTTACTGGGGGATAGAGAACCGAGTTTCTTTAATGTGGTGATGAATCCGAGGAGGACGCTGAGGGTTGTTAATAGTGATTAGTGTCTGGATGTCATGAAGGGGGGGGACTAGTCTTCACTGATGGGCTGAATAAGGGGGAAAATACTGGGGGTAGATTGGTGTGGTTGGTGGGTGTTATGGGTAGATTTATGGATGGAAATATATGGTCCAGTTTTGGTTTGGTATGGTTTGGTTTGGCGTACATGTGTATACAATTGGATAAGGATTTTGTAATTGGGATCTGGATGGATGGATGGAAGGAAGGAAGGAAGGAAGGAAAGAAGAATACACGAATAGGATACCCATGTATAATGTTATTGACTTCAACGCTGTTTTATTGCTCATGAGTCATGGTGTGAAGAATGCTTAGCTGATGAAATTTTCTAGGTCAGACGTATTTGCGCGCTGTTCTTTTTGTTGTATTGTGATACAATCCAGGAGGAGTTCTGTGTTTGAGATGTGAAGGTTGGGGAAGGTGTATCAATTTCTGAGGTAGCTGTAGGATGAGAGACAGAGTGTTATTGGATGCAAGTGTCAACAAGAACGCTTTGTTACATATCTGATCCGAACGGCTTTGATGGCTGCGAGTCAATGATCTCTGGTAAGTATAGTTCAAAAGAACCCTTGATTCGTATCTGAATAGATTGGGTCCCGAACCAGCTCAGATGTAGATAGATGGGAGTTAGCTAGCTGGGTGAATATCAGCTCCAGCTGGTAGGGGTAGTACTGGTGTGGTGAGGAAACTCCAGTGTTGATATCTACTAGGCTTGGTTGTGTTGGAGGTCAGATGTGTATTTAATGGATTCTTGAGGATGCGGAGGATGCGGAGATTTGAGATGAGGGTATGTTTTGTTTGGGATGTAGATGTGAATGGGATGTAGATGTGAATGGGATGTAGATGTGAATGGGATGTAGATGTGAATGGGATGTAGATGTGAATGGGATGTAGATGTGAATGGGATGTAGATGTGAATGGGATGTAGATGTGAATGGGATGTAGATGTGAATGGGATGTGGATGTGGATATGGATTTATGGGATGTGAGTATGGAAAGCTTGGTAGACTATTGTATGGTATCGTATGTGATGTTGAAAGTGATAACTAAGCTCAATATTTTAATTGAAATTGTCGCGAGCGTTGTCAGTGAGGGTTTGGCTTCGATAGTTGATAGGATCTTAATTTCTGTCTGTAGTGATCGATGGTAGTGAGATTGTTGACTAGAGTTGCATCGGTAGAATGAGTCAATAGGAAGCCGTTTGGTAGTTAGTCTTGGTGGATAGGAGGCCGGGTTGTGTATGTCAGAAGAATCAGTAGTATCAGATGCGAAAGGTCAATATGTAATAAAATTATCTTGAGGTTTGGAGAGTATAGCTTCTTAAGAGAATTATTGTATATCTTGTTTATTTGGGTATGTATCAATCAGTAATACCCGGTAATAGCGATTATCAACTTCGGGTGTTTGCTTGTGGTTAATTTAGTGATCTTTGTTGATATATAGTCAAAGAAGGTAGAGTTCGTATATTGATGCCCATCGATATTGGATATGGTATTTGGCCTTAGATTATGCAATAACCATCACGTAGGAGTGAGAACTGTCTAACGATGCATTCCCTAGATCTATATCCCTTAATTCTATTGACTGGATTCCATGGCGGGTTCTCAATCTTTAGATGTGCAACAAAACGTTTGAATTTCCAAAATCTAGCCTATCAACTTGTAATCCGCTTGAGATGAGAGTATACATTAGTTAAATAGTGAACATAGTTAGTATACCATGGGGATTTATTGCACATCTATAACCATGGTACATAGGTACACTCAACACTAGCAGTGAATCGAGTAAAATCTAGACCTCAATCTAGACCCCCATCGCGTTTTGTTGCACATCTGATCAATCTTGAAATTGACGTAATCAAGTTTCTGAGACCAATAGAAGAGCGAGCGCAAACTTGCAGTTTAGCAGGAGCCAATAGATCATAAGCGTCAGAAATCAACTTTGGGAAAGCACGCTAGTGGGTGACTACACTTGATTCAATGGCAAGGTCGCTGTTGGATCCTCAAGGCCAGGGACAACGTTCAGGATGGAGTCTGATTGAATCTGCTTGATGGAGATGGCTATTGGAGCTTCACAACTTCCATTGATCCCGATGAACCCATCACAACGGATATTTCACCTTTATCAAAACTCAGATGTGCAACAAAATCTTCATGCTGGAATTCTGATCTATTAAAAAGCATGCTATTTGAGACGAGAATAGCTATGAGTGAATACACTGCAAACATAAAAGTTTTGTTGCATATCTGACGCGTATTGGTTTGCGTGTGAGTGAAAAGCTAGCAATTAAGTTAGAGCTAGCAATGAAACTCCTAATGGACTAGCAATAAGCTAGCATATATATTTTTTGAGATGTGCAACAAAACCTCTGTGCTGAAATTCTGATCCATTGTAATCGCTCTTACCTGAGACGAAAGTATCCATTAGTGAATACGTTGTGGAATTAAAAAGTTTTGCTGCACATCTAATGCGTATTGGTTTTCGCGTGAGTGAAAAGCTAGCATTTATTTTGGGGCTAGCGATGAACTAATTAAGAGCTAGCAAGGAGCTAGCATATGTATGTTCTTGAGATGTGCAACAAAACTTGAGGAGATATGGGTTATTCACTACTTCGTCCAATGGAATCCGGTTTGGTAATTTTGGAAGGTTTGTTGTATGCCTGAAGTATGGGAAATTGTTTCGACAACGGCAACGTTCAGATACAGATGGATAAATGGGAATGCAATATTCGGGTTGAGGCCAACAGCAAAGTTCGGTTTCAGGACTGATGGATAGGTCCATCATAGCTTTGTCCTACCAGGAGGGAAAGTAAAGTTTAGTAAATTAGTTGTAATTAGGAACTTGATTGTACATCTCACCCGAACGTTAATGTTTAGACGCGGACTGGGTTTGAAAGCATAATCAAGGTCGACAAGAACGGCAACGTTGAGATTCAAATTAATACCGACGGGGTCGTCTGGCAAATAGCAACGTTAGTGATTATCTTCAGACTAGAACTGATATTTGGACCTGATCGACGGTGATCGGAACTCGAGAAAAGAATTTCAGATATGCAACAAAATTTCCGATTTTGGAATTGCAACTTTAACCGAGACCTCTCTCTTTTACACTGTGTGCATATCCTCTTCCCAACAGGGGAGAGCAGAGAGAACTGGAAATTGGAACAATTATCCGACTTACTCATATCACATCAACTAAAATAAGCAAGAACGAGGCCAGGATCTATCAAAATGAAGAGAGTCGTTATTATTATCTGCCCTTGAGCTACTGGTATGCTGAACACATACGTCAGTAACCAAACTTCTGAGGGTTCTTGTTTTTGGAAATCTGAATTCCTAAACACATTTGCTTGAAGACTGAAGAGAAGGGGAAAATCTGTTTCTAGTGATTTTTGTGTGTTGGCATTTTTAGATATTGTAGTCTAGAACTAGAGCGTTGCTAGTGTTGGTACTATTTCTTTAGGTTGTATAGCTTAGGATAATCTGGGGACACATCAGTATCAACGAGAAAGTAAGTTACAGGATGTTTTCCCTAGATTTCCTCACATGCTAATGGTTATAAAGACCGCTGAAAAAGAGCAAGCATCAGTTTTCATTTCAAAATATCAATATTATCAAAGAAGCGTAACATGTTAATATCTCGAGTTTAGAGACATAAAAGAGCCACATGTAATAAGACCCCTCTACAGCTAATCTTCAACAGGATTCCCACTATCATCTATCCGTCTCATCGGTAGACCTCTCCCCCTCAAAATAATCCCAGAGTTCACCAACATAGTCCTCAAATCCACTTGCAGCTTCTCACTTTCCTCGATATCCTCCTCACACCAAGCAACATTCTCCTGGACTCTAACAAAATGTTCCTGCCATACTCTCTCGTGGAAATAGTTCAAAAACGCCTGTCCATGCTCCAGGAGATCAGGATCTTCCTCATACCTCTCTATCAATTCCTCCAGCTCATGACGTCTCTCATACAACTCCATGATCTCCTTATTCTCAGGGATACACTTGATCATCGGTTGTTCCCGAAGTAACTTTATGAGAGGTTCAATATAACCTTCCACGAATTCCTCTTTATCGTTTCCGAAACGTCGCATTTGCTTTTCGATATCTGCTTCATTTTGTCGTATTTTGTTCTCGGCTCTGTATCCTTCAAGTAGTTCTCTGCAAGTACTGATTTCGGAATTTCTCTTGGCAATTCGTGATGGTATGCTCAGATAAGCTTTGAGGAGCTCACCATGCGCGTGAATCTAAAGGAAAAAAGGGTCAATAAGTTGTGATGGAAGTATTGGAATGGAAAAGTGCTTACGATACTATCATCAATACCACGGTTCTTTTTGCGGGGAGGCTCTGCTGATTCGTACAGTTCTTCCTGTTCCGCTTCTTCCAATTCCGGTGCTTCAGAACCAACGTCCGACGTGTCGAGCATCATTTTGTTTTCGTTCTCTTCGACGGATCTTCTTCCTGCGCTTCTGAGACTATCCACTCTGACCTTTATGTAATGGATGGGAAACGGTTGGAGTGGGGTTTTATACGAAAGCCTGTTGGGATGGAGATGTGAAAGGAAGATACCTGAAGGTGCTCAGGTAGTGGAGTTCGCAATTCACTGATAATATTGAAAGAGATTTGGTGAATGACAACGATCAATAATACAGCTCATAAAGACATGTGAAGATATAGTGGAAAGGACCTTTGATCATGCATTCATTTTGAGTGCTTCCTTGACCATTTTTAAGTACGTGGCTTTCACAGGAGTCTGGTTCTTCAAAGTAGCGCACATCGATGCCATTCAATTGATCTGGAGAACAGATATGGTCAATATAACTATGCTATCGGTTGGGCCTAACATATGAAACCTCTTATTGACTGACGAAGTGCAAGTCAACTACCGAACAACTTACCTATATCATCACGAAGTTGCTTTTTATTCAGCATTGTGGACCATCCTGACTTCATCTATATAATAGAAGGCGGGAGAAGAAGAAAGCCTTTCGAATGCTGGTACATAAGGGTGTCGTCTGAGCAACTCCCAATCCTATCGTCAACCTTGATTTCTGCGGCGCTGCGAGGGCGAGAGACTCCACTTCATTCCCCTTCTTCTACCGCGTTTACTCCCAACTTAAAAAGATGCGCAAGAAAGCCTCACCTTCCTCAATGTTCCACTATGTAGTGGTTGATATAAATTACGAGTTTATCTTCGAGTATGTTCTCTAGCTTTTTGAACAGTATTTGCCAAAAGATGATCTCATAGCGTTAGTAGCTTTACTTTCCTTTATTTTTCATCTTCGAGGTAGATTGGTATTTAAACTTAATCTTCTTCTTCCTTTTTCATCCCTCATTCTTTCATCGAGAAGCTTAACTTCTATTACTAACCAACTAAGATGACGCTTATTCCAAGATTTTCTTAAGTTTTCTTTTTGAAGAATTCCTTCAAGCAATCTAAGTACTTAATCGTCATTTGAGGTCGGATCTTCTCCTTAAAACCTAATTCATGGAAATGTAACAATTGTCACGATCACATACTAAAGTATATCATAGAGGTCAAATAATTAGAATAAGAAAGCTGAAAAGGAAAGAGATCCTTAAGGGATCTCTTTATCTCTTATATAATTAACAATCGCCTTAGTTCAAGCTAGCCTTGAACTAAGGTTGTGATGAGTCATCGCCATATCACGTGATATTCGTCACAATAATTCATATAATCATAATAAGCCCTTTATAATAAATATATAACATTTCGATTAATATCTTCAATAATAAAGAAAGTAGTAAGAAAAAGAAAGATAATAAGAAAGATAAGGAAAATAATAATAATAGTTGTACGCTAAGACTAGCACACCTGCGTACATAGATATATATATAGCCTCTCTGTAGTATAAATGAGAACTTCGTCCTTCTTTCATACTATTCTCTTATCAAATAGTAAAAAGAATCTAAATTTCTAGAAATAAAAAATAAAGAAAAAGATAAAAGAATAAACTTAAGAGTAAATCGTTTTTTAAAAGAAAGTAATATAATTATTGATATCACCATGGGGATAGTGAAGTTAATGTAGTACTATGATTTATACTATTATAATATTACTTGAGGTTTTAAGAGCTAGGGCTACGAAACGTATATACTATAGTGCCGAGGCACTAGCGCAAGCGCTAGTGCGGTCACATGATCACTGTCCCGATAATATTAATCTAATCTTAGACCTAAATTAATTAATTATTTACTTCATCTAATAAATTAAATCTCGTTTTATTCTTAATTCCTTCCTATTCCTTTCTAAGCTTATAAAAGTCTTTTATAGATTTATTCTTTTGTATAATAGTTTATTATTCTCTAGTATTAATAATTAATTTATCTTATTATTATTATAGAAACTATTATGCTTTGTATTATAAAAACCCCGTTTTCTAAATAACTTTGATATTAATTTCAATTTTAGAAAGGAAATTAGATTTTTATGTTATTTATATAATAGAATATTGTATATTAAATTTTTAAAAATTATATTAATAAATAAAGGAAGTATATAGTTATATGTATAAATTTTATATATAAAATAAGATAGACTATATACTAATAAACTACGTTATATATACTATACTTCATATTAATTAACAATTAATTTATTATGTTTTTTCTTATGTCTTTCAATTACAAATTCAATATAACTATAACTTATATTTGATTACAAATTATCTTTAGGGATACCGTTAGTTTTTAGGGGGGGAGTAATAAAACTAACAATCGTCTTAAGCACAAAGCTCTATATAATAATGAAATCCTGTTCCCTATATAGATCTTCTTGCTCTACGGGATCCTATATCTCCAGGCTCCTGGCTCCTTGGATCCTAAGCTTCAAAAGCTTCAATGTTCAATCACATGATGCTCATCACATGCTTTAATGTTACTCTTCGTAAAAAATTTATTATAACAATCAAACCTTTACAACAAATTCTGAAATCAAAATAATCATTATTTATTAAAAGCTGAATATCTTAAAAACTCCCTCAATTTTGATGTGTTTTTACTGTCGTATTTCATACAGTCAGACCGGAAATTTTTGGTTCCCCTACTTCAATATCGAACCAATCTAATAAAAATAAGAAAGATCAAAACAAATACTAATAATGAAAATTTCCGTTTGCTGTAGCCTGCATAGCATCTGTTAACATCTTATATTTAGATCTTTTGAAGACTCAACCTTGCGATTCGGCTAGTTTCAACAAGGGTCCTAGTGATTATCGAATTATGGCGCTTAAGGAGTTCGTGCTATTGGTGCCTTCGATCAACCAACCCTCAAAGCGTCTACAGTAAGCACAGCGCGTTTTCCCCATCTTTAAGCATTTAAAATCAAGAACTTCCCCAAGTGATTTCATATAACTATGTGAATCTGTTCCTCTTGAATATGGACCCTTTGAGTATCAGCACCTCAGTGTTGACTGTAATAGCAGCCACGATTACAACGATAAAGACGCTCAATGAGACTGTGGGACGATACAAGGGTCGTGACAAAACGTTGGCTAGACTTCAAGGGGGCCTCAATGATCTTATCAGCATTCTAGAATCGCTGAAAAATGCGGCTACCGATGATGCTCCAATCTTGGCACTTTTGAAAGGCCCTGTAAGTCGGTGCGCTCAGGTATCCCGTGAATTCGAAGCCGCTATGAAGAAATTCGATACCAAGTCAAAATTAGGGTTAAAAGATTGGGCAAAGATGGAGTTTATGAGAGGGGACATCAATGAGTTTATTGATACTCTAGCAGACTACAAATCAACAATTACGATTGGCTTGGGGACCGTCAATATGTAAGCTTTGCTATATAATTGCACTTGTTGTTGGTATCTTACTAACTAATCTTTAAGGCATACATCTAGACTTACTCAGCAGGTATTTGAGGAGTATGGTGAGATGGTCAAGGATACAGCCTACAACCTTGAGATACGTCTTCAGCGAATTGATGAGAAAATGGCGGTTCTGAATTCTTGCCATCCAACTCTACTAGAAGATCCAAGCATCGATCTTCAAGACGAGAAAGCTGTAACAGTACAGTGTCTTCGGATTTGTGAACGCGCAACATCTTACATCCAGTCCTTACAGGATGAGCAGCCTACACTGCAGAGGGAAGCACCAGGAAAGAATGCCGGAGATATCTTACGTCAGTTCGAAGCACAGCTTTTAACACAAAAAACACTCACCGAAAATCGCGATAAGCTGGCTGAGACAATTTGTCGTTTACAAGAGCATCTTAACTCTGTGACATTCAATCGTGACAACGACCATAAAAAAGACACTTTACAGCTAAAGGAAGAAATCGAATTTTCAAAGCAATGTTTAGAGGTATGCAAAGAGGCTACCAATCAAGTATCAGCCCAAAAAATACACGTCATTGGGGAGGTTGTTGCAGATGGTGATTGTGATCAAGTGGTTGTGACGGCCATTGCAGATCTCTTTCATGTCGGAGTAGTGAAAGCAAAGGGCAGGTCTATGCAAATGGTTGGCTCAATGCCGGCTGACACTCTCCGAGAGATGTCTAAAGATCGTTATAGCAGCCGCTTTGGTGCTCCTGATGGGAAGCTTGCAATTGCGCAATCTCTTGCAACCTCAAAAACAAACTCTTCTATTATGCAAACCGGTCAGAATGGGGAAGAAGCGGATTTAGCATCTGCAAGAAGAATGTACAATAAACCATCTTCTAATGAAATCAGAAAACGAAGGGCTGAGGGTGAAGATGGCATGAAGTAGACTAACTTCATGAATTGAAAGCACAATTGGCCAAATTCGACTGATTAAGTCAGATTGTGCAGTGCATACCGAAGAAAAAGGTTCTGCTGCTAGGACGTATAATTGTGGCGATTCGTCACCAGAGTGCCACGTGACCATTATTAGTGTATATAGTTCAGAGCTCTTACATTTCTGTTTCTATTCTTTCTTCCTTTCTTAGCTTTAGATCTTAGGGTAGAATTGAATCCTCCTATAACAGTCCTTCGTATCTAGATCAAATGAGCCATAAAGTATACTGGCACCGAAGGGAATGAGGAAGCCGATTACATAGCAAATGAGGAAACGACTATGAACCTGGGCAAAGGGATATGTGGTGCTCTGCTCAGGAGAACTACAAATTGGGGTTCCAAGATATCCTTAGAATCTATAACCACAGAGCGAAGACGTTCGTAGCCTGAAGTGCTCTTTATATAAGCATTGTGCACGTGACCATAGCACGTGAGATATACGCACGCGTTCCGTCGAGCCTCGTACGAAGACCGGTAGTAACACAACCGTCCCTTTTAAAGGGTCGCCCTTGATTCTTTCCCAGGGGTTATACTCTCTAATCAATAAAAAGGCTTTAGTATCATACAGTCGGGCGTAAACAAGGAAAGTTTTGCTCTACAAGTTTGCTTTTTTGTACAACAAAGCATTCTTTAGGCGTCGTCACGCGTCGATTGTACAAAACAAACGAAATATAGAAACAGCTCTTCGAACCCACTTCTCTCTCTTCTTCTTTCAACGCATTCTTTTCAAACTTAGTCGCAATATCGGATCGACTTCTTCGCAGTGCAAAAAACAAAGCACTCCTACGAAGTCCACTCGCAAGAATGTGAACAAGCAGCAGCTTGCTGAGGCTTGTAACAAGGCATATAAACTTGTATCATGGTATACTAAGAGGCTAAGCTTATATCAGAATAACTTCATGATGGATCTATTGTATACAGATTGCTATATGAAAAGCGATTGTTTGAGATATATTATTCATTTATTCATTTGTTTCTAATATCTAATATCTAATATCTAATATCTAATATCTAATATCTAATATCTAATATCTAATATCTAATATCTAATATCTAATATCTAATATCTAATATCTAATATCTAATATCTAATATCTAATATCTAATATCTAATATCTAATATCTAATATATAATCTCTTTAAAGATATTCTAAATATACTAAAAACGGGCTTATAGAGTATAGATACTTTTATTATTTGTAATAATCTACTAATGTTTCTTTCTAAAAATTCTAGATTGCTTTTCAATTATGCTTTAAATTGATTAATTTAATGTTACGGGAGCTGCCTCTAGAGTCACATGGAAGTGGCTAGAGATCTCTCAAAGTAATTTAGATTAGACTTCAAGTAGAAATTCAATATAATTATAACTGGTTGTAATTCTTGTAATTATAGTAATAAAACTAATAATTATTTTTGAATACAAAGCTCTATATTATAATAAGAATTATTCCTTTATATAGATCTTTATTCTTTATTATCCTATTAATTTTATTTATTAGAAATAATAAAAGTAATAAAATTCTATTAATAATAAACCTTAAATCTAAGGATTACTAGCTTAGCCTATAGTAAATCTATAGTTTATAATTCTATAAAGGAAAAGAATAATTAGGATTTATAATATTAATACAAAAAAAATAAGACATAAGAAACTAAATATATTCTCTACTACTGAATCCTAGCAGAATAACTCTAGAGCGCTAGGGGGTATACTAATTTTGCTAAAATTTATAAGTTTTATTTTTGTTATTAATATTGATTATATTATCGAAATCATTTTGAAAAATATAAAAGATTCAAATAATAAAAGAATTTTTAAAATAAGGTGTAGGAAATAAGGTGGCTGGGATTAATCTTGCTCAAGTATATAGTGAGTAATGGCCTCAACTCTTATCTGATGTAATAAAAGTTATTGTGGCTAAGTATAAAATTGGACCCTTGATACCCGACTGACTGTAAACTTGAATGAAATCGAATTTTGCCCAAGGCGGTGAAGTTCTCCAACCCACCCAGCCACTCGAATTAAGGTTAAACACCTCTAATCCTAGCCTCACCGAATACTATCCCCGTGGAAACGGTCCATATCTGCAAATAATTATGTATTTGGTACCTGAATGCAACAGCTGGCGCACTCGGTGAGAAGATATTGTGATTTCATCATCGTTTGATACGTATATTTAACTCTTGAAGTCAATGAAATCTTCAGTTGTATGAACATACTTTCCATTGAATCACTATTCCAAGAACTGAGTATCCAGATATCTATCGCGCAATATAAGGTTAATTTTGGCTACATTTGGCGGGGATTTCAATAAAATAGGTGGTTGGGCAACGAACCTTGGAATAATATAACAGGTAAATTTCTTTTTCCATTCCTCGGACGATTTTGATCTTCTTCTTCTCTTTACACATTCCTAATATTCATACTAATCATTTAAGTTAATCTAGACCTCTATCTCCATACGTTAACGATCCAAAATGCGTTATCATTCTTCATTCCTCGCTTTTTCCCTCCTCACCTCAACCACAGCTCTCCAAATCCCATCATTGCTTTCACCGCCGGAACCTTTCTATGCACCACTTTCTCTCGACCTTGATATTTCCTCAGAACCATCCATAATATCAAATGAAACTATTTTCCCAGATACTTCACCAGCTTCCTCAAAACCTAAACCCGAACTCCGCAAACGCGATGGAAACTGCCCCAGCAATTACAACTCCTGTTCTACTTTGAGAGATTCATATGGCGGTGCTTGTTGTCCTGCAGCCGCAGTATGTTCAACAGATGCTTCTCATAATATAGCTTGTTGTGCAGTTGGCGCATCATGTACTGGTACTATCGCAGTCGCAACTGCAACGAGTCCAGCATCAGTTTCTGCGACTGCAACGGGAACATTCGTCCCAAACGCTTATTTTCCATTCCCTATCTTACCTACTAGCTATGTCAACTCTGCAGCATGTGCTAGCGCGACGGATTCTTGTGCCAAGAATTATGCGCTATGTACTGTTGATCTCGAGGGAGGAATGGGCGCGGGAATCACAATCTCGGCTGCAAATGGCGGTGTTACTGTGGCTGCAAGCACCATCAGTGGGGGATGGCTGCCAGCAGCTAGTGCAGCAAGCGTCTGTCAGAGTTTGAGTAGTGTCGCTTGTGACGCTGTTGAAAGCGCTGGATGTGCGCAATTCGGTACGGGAGCCGCAACTGCTACCTTCGTCATTGGGACTAATGGAGTGGGCGCAATGATTCCAAGACCAACTATGATGAATTGCCTGCCATATGCGGCTGCTGCGGCTGGAGTTATGGGATTGGTGATTTGAGGTGAAAGCGGACAGATTGGAATTTTATGAGAGTCCATTTGGAATTTGAAGCGGAAATTACGATATGCTTCCTATCTTGATAAGGGAGCGATATCCAATTGGCACGGCGGAAGGTTATGCAATAAATGTTACGATATAATGTCTGGCTGGGTATGGTGGGATGACTTTTAAGATGAGAGGGTGGTATTATCTACATAGGACGAAAGGGTTAGCAAGTTGGGGAAAGGAGGCGCGTGTGAAAAGCTTGATAAGCGGATACCTATCTCGAGCGATTGAGCATAGTTTTGGAGTTTGACGATTAATGAATATGGATGAGGATTTCTGATGTGAATTGATATGAGGGCAGTCGGTGGGAATATCATTACAAGTATCGTACCTAGATAAACATCAATGTGTACAATTTATGAACATACAAGAGAACAATGGTTTTCTTCGAAGCATATTCGTGAGGGATGCACGAATCTAAAGTTCTAGGACGGATTTAGCTTTGACTGGGAGTTTTAGTATTATCTGCATGCTCGTATATAGAAAATACAATCCGATAGATGTACATACCTAGGTACTAATCAACAACCTATCGCGATCTGCCGTTTAGGGAATTCATACACTATCCGGACGTCTAACCTTTCTACCCCCACCATGACTACCCCGCATTCGTCATAATCTAACCTTATATTTTACAAATCACCTCGCAATTCGGTATCACCATACCAATCGCTTTTTCCAAATACTGTTCTAGTCCCACTCTCGTTCTAATTCATATTCTAATTCTTATTATCATTCCCATTCTCATTGCTATATACATTAGAGTCTTAACATCCAACATAGAATTCCTTTCAATTCCTTCATTCCAACTTCTACCACACCACCACCCAATCATGACACCCGCCACCTTCTACCCAAACTTCACCTCCCAATCCATCTCCACGAGCTCCGATATCTCAATCCACACCCTCACAGGACCCAAAAATGGTCCTCCTCTTCTTCTCGTTCATGGTTTCCCACAAACACATCATATATGGCATTTAGTTACGCCGCATTTGGTTGATCATTTTTCACTTGTGTTGGCGGATTTGAGGGGGTATGGGCAGAGTTCTAAGCCGAAAGGTAGTGAAGAACACAAGGAATATAGTAAGAGTACTATGGTATGTGTTTGTGTTTTGTTTATGTTTTCATGGTGTGTTACGGGTGTTTGTGTCTGTATGTTCTTTTGTGGAATTCAAAATGGGTGGTAGATTACCAGAATTGTTGAGTTAGTTGATCACGATTCCAGAAATAATAAGATGTGAAAGGGGTGAAGGATGGTCAAATCAATTAGCGATTCCAGAAATTCTTTCTAAACTACACAATTCACACACTCTAAAAAAACTCACTAACATCCTCTAGGGTTCCGATCTTCTAAGCGTAATGAAGCATCTCGGCTATCCCCAATTCTCAATCCTAGCCCATGACCGCGGCGCTCGCGTCGCTCATCAACTCGCCATCAATCACCCAGAAGCCGTGACAAAGCTTATGCTTCTAGATATTCTCCCCACTCTAACCATGTACGAATTAGGAAAACACACCTGGTATCAAAAATACTGGCACTGGCCCTTCCTCTCGCAACCTTCTCCCTTCCCCGAACAAGCAATTCTCGGGAACCCCAACCTTTTCTCCGAGAAATTTATGGGGAAAGGTGGAGTGGGTAAAGGATTTGTTATGGATGCGGAAACTAGAGAGGTGTATGACGGATTGCTGAGAGATGAAGAGGGTGTACATGGTATGTGTGAGGATTATAGGGCTGGGGCGTCAATCGATCTTGAAGAGCAGAGGAGAGATAGGAAAGAGGGGAAGAAGGTTCAATGTGATGTTTTTGTGGTTTGGGGTGAGAAGGGTGCGTGTGGAAGTGAGTTTGGGGATGTGGTAGGGCTTTGGAAAGAGGTTTGTGGGGGGAAGGTAGAGGGGGTGGCGGTGGATGGGGGACATTATGTTCCGGAGGAATGTCCGGAGGAGTTGGTGAAGTTGGTTAAAAATTGGTTTTGAGGGATGGGTTATAGGAGATGGGCTATTGTGGATGAGGGTTCGGCGGTGATATCACCATGGTAGTTCCTCGATGCTATGATATTGACAATCAAAATAAGAAAGTCAATATCTATGCCACATTCTGGTATAAAAGCAACCTTTTCCCCCAACGTCTCACAACCTTCGAGACAAACAGTAAAAGAATTGACGAACTGATAAGGGAATAAAAACATAACGACCACTTGGGGATAATACATATAGTAGTATGATATTCAATTCATGCTACTTTCAATCCTGTTAAGTACTAAACCCACTCAATTGCTCAAATGCTGTAATTTTCAAAACACTAGCTCTATTGAAGTGTGACGAGCCACCAGAGAGCCGATTATTAAGTCGCGATCCTTATGTAACAATTAGGCTTTGTACCACTCGATATAACATGGTTTATCACCAGGTCGCCAAGGTCATTGAATCGCTATTAGTTTTTATACACAAAAAATGTCTATATACAACTGTGCACTTTCTTTATATATTGATATATATATTTTTTGTGTATAAAAACAAATAGCGATTCGGTGATAATAGCAATCTGGTAATAAACTATGTTATATATTATCTGCCCTTGAAACTAGCAATCTGCACTAAAAGGTTAAATTTTATCACTATTTGTCCCAAAAAGATACCATAGATTCCTTGAAATCTCCATCGTAAAATGGTTTATTTCCTATCTCTACCTTCCGAGCTCAATTCAAACCCTACACAGATCTGATTAGCCTAACAAGCAAATAAGCAGTCCCCACACCACGACATTGAATCGGTTCAAAAGTGCTGGGAATCGTACGTAGCACATCAAGTGTCAAGGGTAAAGATTTACTCACATTTGGGCAGCTGATAATATGCGAATACCGTCATGATCGGCAAAGGTATAATCAACTACTTGAATTATTCGCTGCATTAATATCACTACACACATACACATAGTTACAGAGGTTCCGATAGCATCTCAGTGGTATATTTTAAGGCTCCCCGAGCCGTCCTCGCCTCCCATCTCAGCTCTTTAGCATCTTATAAGATAAGACAATGAACCCGCCGCTGCTCTCACGCAACAGGGATTCTAATACAGCGACTGAAGCTCCCCTTTGCGCGATATGTTCCGCACAGCTGACCTTGGATGAGGCCAATTCCGGTGGTGCCCTGAAGAACGAAGATGGCGTATCGGTGCTATACTTCCCACATGCAGACTCACTCAGGTCCAGTGAGGACTGGAGTGGTGAGATTAAGGATTCTGTCAGCATTTGGAGGGGGGACTTGTTTATGAGCGAACAGTGACGCTGCCTAATCTGCCGGAACTCTCCGATTCCTTTGCATGCAAGTTCTGTCTTGCGCTGAAAAGATCGCTGCTAGATCGCTACGGTGACTACCTCTGGTGGAAAGAACCCTCTCCGCCTCTAAAAATCGAGGGGAGATATCAATGGTACTCGCCTCCAGAGACGCGGAGAACGGATAAGGGACCACATTTCCGACTAAGTGCGTTGGCTATAACTTACAGCCACCCCGAAATGGAAAACACTTATGGTCAAAAAGTACCGGATAAGTTTCCAGTCATGGCAGAACCTGGTTAGTCGAAGTTTACTCTGAGTCCTCGTGGTTACGCTTCGTTGCTTACTTGTGCTTTCAGTCCTCGCTTTCGAAGGAGGTCGTCGGGCCATACTGTATTCATCTATTTAAAATGTCGTACGAAACACCCTCTGAAACCGACCTGTCCAATTCTATCTGGACAAGCCGAGGCTGGGTTTGGCAAGAGCAGATCATGGCCCAGAGGCTTCTTATAGTTGGTGAAAAGATGGTACATCTGAAATGCCACGGTTGCATCTATTCTGAGGATGGAACTGTGAGTGAAGTGTTCGAGAGCTATATCCTCAGGGCATCGAGATTTCAGATTACAGATACCTTGCTTGGTGATTGAGAGGAGTGGATGAATGATCTCAGCAGCAGGAAGTCCACTTTTCCCAGCGACAAACTAGCCTCTGTATCCGGTCTCGCCCTTGCATTCGAAAGAGTATTGACTACGCGAGGCCGCCCCCGGAGTATCTTGCAGGACACTGGCAGGATGAAAGGTTTCATGGCAGTTTGCAATGGACTATTGTGCCAGAGATCAAAGCTTCCTTCCGCAACATGATCAAGGGTCTACATGACCCTGAAAAATACTGCGCGCCGTCATGGAGCTGGGCGTCAAGGAATCAAGGCCGGCTTATCATGCTGCCCATTGGGACCGAACTGAATGGAACAGAGGCGGACTTCGAGTTCGTATCAAACAATCTGGTTGCTGCGAAGTCAAACGTCCGAGTTAGAACGAGACCAGGCTCGTCTATCACGCTCCGGGGAAGGGTCCGCCCCTTCGCTTATCCTCCAACTGAGAGCACTAAGCGCTATGATAGACTCGGATATATACCCCGCTCTGCGGAGTGGGAAGTTTCTGTTCCGGGAGGTAGGATTTATCATTACCTGGGTTGGAACCCCTTGCTGGACGATACCTCATGGGAGGAACTCAGGCCATCTCTGCGGCTTTTCCTTTTGACCAATGTCGGTATGGGGCTCGTATTGTTATCAGAATTAAAATACGAGCCTGGGTTTCGGCGAGTGGGCGTGTTCCTATTCGTGTCCTCGAACAAATGCATGAATGGTGCAAATTGGTTTCCACATTACTTTATGTCCGATAACTTGAGATTTGACTTTCTTCAAACTGGCTGGAACGTGGAAGATGTGGTCCTTTACTAAAATTTTCGCTGAAGTTCAGATCTCATTGTTAAAGACTTCCAATGTTAGTGCTTGAGGCTGAAATGAGTGTTCTGTTAGACTCAGTCTGCCCCAGCAAAGGGAACTGCTGGTATGAGAGGGGTACAGTTGACGTAGCACCTACGATGGTAGGTCCTAATTGTCAATTTTGTATTCTGTCTAAAGAGCTAGTTATGTACAGGAAGCGGCAGTCCTTATATAAGGGCTGCTGTAAGAGCTAGTCTCTTTCGCATTCGCTTGATTGTATACTACAAAAGTCATTGAATGAGGTCAATTCATTTATATCTACATAGGAACACTGAGTCAGGGAGAATCAGTCAGATCAATACTAAGCAGGACTAATTTGACTAATCATAAGTACGAAGATCTATATGGCCAAGATCTTAAGACATTCATCAAATTTTGTTACTGTCGGGATAGGCATCATGTAGCCGTGCTAGCGTATGCACTTGCACCTCAACATCACAACATGTAGGTTTCAAAGTCTTAGCTTTTAGACTCTCAGCAATTCTCAGCAATGTTATAACAGTGTGAGCAGTTGCATAGGTAGTTGCAAGAATTTTACATTTGTCATTATTATCAGTTGGATTTCTGTTTGAAGTCTACATCGCCTCTGTGACGGAAATCACATGTCTATGCGGTTACTCATCACACTTACCTTGGTTCAAGAATAGCTTAAACTAAACGCTCCTTTAATGTATAAGAGATAAAAAGATCCCTTAAGGATCTCTGTCTTCTTTAGCTTTCTTATTCTTTATTCCAATTTATCTGAGCTCTATAGACTTGCTCTAGTTTGTGATCGTAACACCTCAACGGATCTAGACACTTCCACGTTCTAGATGCTTCTATATGGCCTAGAGACAATCATTATAACACATGGTAAGCCGTCCCATTGATAGATAAAGCTGATCCAAGGTTGTGTACTAGATTGAAATATCGCTTGGTTATTTGAGATGCTGGTGACTATACAGATGCAGGTTGAGAGTACGTTTTAGTGACCAACGACTTATCAAAGCTTTTCATTTTTTCAATTTTCACGGAAGATCGAGCAGCTCTCTTATCCTCCCAACCCATATCCAAGCCCACTTTCGCAAGAAGTTACAGAACATCCACTAGAAGTACACTATACGAGAAAAAGAGAAACAAACAAAACAAACAAATCCAGCACAGCCCTGACACTTTCACTACACCCTCATCTCCATCACAAACCTCATAAACGCATTCAAACTCCAATCCGAAGAAACCGGAAACCCATTTCTAAATTTCCCCATCCACTCCCTCGCTCTCGCTCTCATCTCCACATCTCCCATCACCTTCTCAATCCCTATCTTAATATTCTCTTCCACCACCCCATCTTCCATATTCTCCACAATTTTATATCCAATCCTCAAATAATCAACCACCAATTTCGAATTATAAAACTGATCTCCCCTAATTGGCCAAGTCAGAAACGGAACACCCCGTCCTATCGCCTCAACCGTAGAATTCCATCCGCAATGCGAGAGAAAACCTCCCGTGGAAACATGAGACAGGATGAGAAGTTGTGGGGCCCATCCATAAATCACTAAACCGCGTTTACCTACCTTGAGAGCTAGGTCCTCTGGGTAAAATCCCCCAGGTTCTCGTGACTCTTTGGTTATACCAGCGAGCGGGGGTATCACCCAAATAAAAGATATGCAGGAATATTCCAACGCGTTTGCAATGTGAGAATACTCGACCATTTCAGGACCGACGTCGCTTCCGAACGCTATGTAAAGTACCTCATCCTGTGCTTTAGAATCTAGCCAAGTCAATATCTCCTCTTCTGAATGATTCGATAAGCGTTGAGACTGTCTCCCTCTGATGAGCGAATTGTCATTCGCGGATTCCCAGTATGTTTCAGGTAGAAGTGGTCCTACGTCCCAAATAGGCACGTTCCAATCAGGCATGTAGATTTTCAACTCAGTCGTTATGTAGTCGAGAAATGGCCTTTCCAATTCTTCCCACGTATGGTACATTATTCCAATCGTGCCGTTGACTGCCATGAACCATCGCGGTAAATTTCCTGGTTCGGGGGGTTCAGAAAAGGGGGTGGGATCGAATTCAGGGTCTTCAGGTGGCGTCAGACCTGCGAACACTTCCCGGTCGAAACGCTTGTAATCTTCTGGTGTGATTAATATCTCTACTGGCAATCCCTTGATGGTCTTCTTTGGGTCTCCGGGCTCAAACTTTTCAGTCGCTGCTTTCAATTTCATCACATGAGACATCATAGATGCGGCACATGCGCCGAAGGAAATGAAGGTTACGATCGGAATATTACATTTGGCAAAAATTTCTTTAGTCCATTCCATTTGAATGTCGACGATTGCGCATATAATAGGAGGTGTCGAGTCTGAGGTTATGTGGTCGGTGATGCGGAACATGAGCTGACTGATTGCTTCCAGGCGGAATTGATCAACCACAAGGGGTAAGGCTGATGATGGAGTGATGTAGAGAAAAGAAGTTAGGGGGTTTTGGATGAATGATTGGGGGAGTGATGCGGGAACCGACCAGGGAGGTTCGAAAGGAGTTTCGATGCCCCGATCGGGTATAACAAGCGTAGTGTTAAAGTTGCGTGCGGTGAGCCGTGTGCAAAGCTCGATGCATGGGTGGAGATGACCTTGTCCTCCACCTGTAACGACGAATATCTCACCGTTTACATGTTCCATGTTTGGATGTGTTTAAGTTCTCCTGATTCGACTTGATCATTTGAAGCTACTTGAATGGAAAGATGTTTAGTGGAAGAAAGAACATCAAGACGTGAAAAGGTAGGGAAGGTAGAACCGTAGTGGAAGCTAGAGGAAGACTATTTGTGAAGTGAAGTAGACCTCTTTGAATATTAGACAAAGCCATTAATGAACTCCAAAATACAGCTGGGTGGAAAGTAGAAAGTAGTAGCAAAACCAAACTACCTGAACTTTCAGTGTAGAACGATTGATTGACTATCATATCCAAGAGTTGACTTGAAAGAGTGTCATGAACAAACATGCAGCGATGCTATCATAGAAAGTGCTAGGTAATTTATGGCGAGTCATTGAGCCTGGTCGCTATTGCCATTGCCACTTGGTTCTTTCTTCATAGAAGGGATACCATACACACTGAACTGCCTGCGCAGAATGATCAGGACCAGAGAAGTATGTAAATGCTTGTCAGTAAAAGTATTTTCACTTGGAGAGAAATACACTAGTTTCTCAGCAGCAATATGACGAACAAACTCCCTTCAGTTGAACCGCTTGAAGAAAATGGCGAATCAACTCATGGGGTTCCTTCCTGCTTGTGCGCAAGCTGGGGACATGTCTGTTGGGAATCAATGTATGGAACCTTCTGCATTTGAAAAAAAAAGAGAAATGGAGCTTTCTACTTGCGTAAGACATTTTATACTCGACATCATGAAGCCTCTTCCTCACCGAAATCCAACATTTCAGACACGCATAACACAATACTTATTATCGTCAATTTTGGTTAATCAAATTTATTACTCATTATTATCGGGACCTCTTCACCAAGTCCGAGACTTCGAATATACACAACACATTGTGTATCATCCTTTTTGGTTGATCAACTTACCGCCATTTTACTGTATCATTAGAGTACGTCGCAATGAGGGAAGAATACTTCAATGTGGCCAATATGTCCAAGGCCGGTGTTTTCCTGTATAATGACCCGGATGATTCGGAACACTATGATTTCGACGATGGTTTTTCCATAGCCAACATGACCATAAACGTGGGTGAAAATTCTCCCAATGATAGTACAGAAGGCACAATCTATATGGATCGGGTGTGTAAATCAGGAAATTTCAAGAATGCATATGTATGTCGTTACTGTATTCTTCTTATTGCTGTTTGCTGCCCCCTCTAAGTTTAGTACTAATCAGCTGACTAGGATGGATTCTACACAAATGGTGAAAGATCTGGTCAGCGCTGTGTGTTAAAGAACTTTAAAACAGGACCTGTGTATCATGATGATCCATACAAGCAGCAACTTAAGATAGATAAAAAGGCACAATCTATCATTGATGCATTCAATGCCGCAAACAGGCCATCGGAATGGCACAGTGATGAAGTCAATGCTGGTAATACTATACCAATATACCCAGTCCGCCTCATCCCGTCGACACTTTGGACTGACAACGAGACGGGAGCCGTAAGCATTATAGAACCATTTATTGAGCGTTACCGAAAGTTCAACAGCCCCACAGGATGTGTTCGGGCTGACGACGAATTTGTTGATCCAATTCAAGCCTTGAGTCACTTTTCCTATCACATATCTGACCGCAAATTGCTATTGTGCGACCTTCAGGGAGGCGGAGATGCCAATGGATAGTAAGCTTGCTTTCCTACAGGTTATCTTTTCGGCTCTTTCCCAGTGAACTTTTCAAAGATCAGTATATTCCCTAACTCGCTCACCAGTACCCTCGCAGACCCAGCCATTGCATCAGATGATCCACAAAGGCCCTATGGAGCATCAGATATGGGACCTCAATGTATCAAAGATTTCTTAAAACGCCACGTCTGCGGTTTATATTGCAATCCACAGTGGCTCAAACCTGAAGTGGTTGAAGAAAGGGAGGTACCTCCAATTCAGCGAGGGCTCTTACCACCTTACGACACGTGAAGAGCGAGCGAGTATGAGAGCGTCGAAAGAATGCCGGGACACTCTGTGCTCTCATAGTTAACAACAACTAGAGTTTTGGTATTCAAAGGGCAAAATGAATGAGGAGTTGAGAAATGAATTGTTTTGAATTCGGCCAGGAAATATATCGGAGCTGTGAATGGCTTCTTTTTTGGTTGATAGCTTCAGCGATAAAGATGAGTGTCGGTTTCTTTTCATGCCCTTTCCTTGATCAATCATGATAGGATGTTTGAGGATTTCATAGCGTTCAACAGATATAAAGAAACGAGTTTGAGACATGAGATAGATCACGTGAAATTCTCTTTGTGATCCGAAGTTGCCGATAATGATGAAACCTGTGCAACGCCGTCCTTACGAGCCCCTATAATAAGCAAGCAAGCAAGCAAGCAAGCAGTACAGAAAATGAAGTGGGATGATCATTATTCTGGGGTGAAACTTTGATTTTGTCCCCCGGGGTTGATAGACGCCAAAACTCCCTTGAAAATTCGTTGGAACAAATCAAAATTGGTTTGATACCATTTCATGCTGGTGTAGATCTTCATACCAACAAATGTGAAGCAAGGTTACGTGGTTTGATATGTGGCGGCTGGACGTTTGGCAGGGCTGGCTGCGTGGCTTGACCAAAGAATAAAGAATTCATTTACCAACAAAGTGACGTGAAACATGCAGCTGTAAAACTTCAATCTCGTAATTGTGTGCATTACATCGTATTCTATTTATATTTACATTTATATTTACATTTACATTTATATTTACATTTACATGTATATGTACATTTATAATCATAGTTAATCCAATCCGGCGAGAGAAAAGAGTTCTAGATGGCGGTAAAAGCTCATTACCCCAATATTATACTTTTCGACCCATATATTGATCAAAGCGATAGAACCAATAGACCCATCACAGCGCCAGGACTCTGAGAAGCAAAGCCTCAATGGAACCCCGAGGTTGACATCTTTATTACTACCTACCTAGTGGACACCTAGGTAAGCGCCAATTGATCATAAATAACTCATCTACATTCATATTTACATTTTGATAGTCCTTGTTATACTATACCTAGGTATCTAAAGTTGTAAATATCCATACATCAACGTCAAGACTAGGTCGTGTGCATCATTTCCTTTAATAACTAAGTCTCATATCTGAATCGCTTGGGGAAAGAGACTTTAGTCACAACTGATCCCTGAATCGACCAATTATTCACGTCAAGAATGAACCTTAAAGGCTATCGAACTTCTTGAACACCCTTGGCAACAACACAGCCTCAAAATTCTTACATTACACACGGCAGTGAATACACACACATATCTATTCTCTTCTACAATCTTTATCCCTCTCTTCTTTTAAGGGGGAATCCACCGTCGTTTTCCTTACAACTTGATGGGAATCTTTCACCATGAATTCAATCATGAGATCTCGAAATAATGGAAAGATATCCATAGCCGTCGTCCTTTCTTACGTATCCGATTGGGTGATTTGTATTGTTGCCGCAGCGCTTGGTGCTGTGTTCAATTACCAGACGCCCAATAGACGACCCTTTTCACTCGTCGATCCAGATATCAGTTTTCCATATCAAAATCACGAGAAAGTTCCCACCTCTCTCCTGGCCGTTTTGGCATTTGTCGTACCTGCACTCGTCATTCTTCTCGTCACTCTGACTTTGGTCCCGGGCCCAACAGTCCCAAAATCTGTACCCAAAGCTTTGATTTGGAAACGGAAGTTATGGGAATTGCACGCTTCTTGGCTCGGACTTGCATTATCCTGCGCCTTGGCATTCGTCATCACGAGTGGAATGAAGAATCTTTTTGGACGACCTCGTCCAGATTTGATATCGAGATGTATTCCTGATGTGGAAAATATTGCAAAGTGGGCTGTTGGTGGTGGTGATAGACCAGAAGGAATTGTTTTGGTTCAAGCGGGTATCTGTCAACAAACAGATAGTGAAATTCTCAATGATGGATTCAGATCGTATCCTTCTGGTCACTCATCCTTTTCATCTTCCGGACTTGTCTACCTCAGTCTCTTCCTAGCATCTAAACTCGCCTTGACAGTCCCTTACCTTGCACCTCAAGCTTATACCACTGATTCCTCACTCTCTCACTCTGCATTTCCATCCCGCAACACTCTGAGTCATCAACGTAATGATTCCGAAGTTTCCGCCAAGAATATGGATACATCGGCTCTCACATCAGGTCACAACGATAAGTTAATAGCCTCCCGTAATCAAGCTGCAGCTCCTCCTCTCTATCTCCTCCTCATCACTATCATACCTACCTTACTATCCGTCTATATTTGTTCAACCCGCTTTTCCGATTTCCGCCATCACGCTTTCGATATTCTATTTGGATTTTTCCTCGGCGTCCTGACAGCCATCTTTTCATTCCGCTTCTACCATCTTCCTCTCTCCCAAGGTGCAGGCTGGTCATGGGGACCCCGCAGTTCCGACCGTGCATTCTGGGCCGGTGTGGGAGTCGGTAGCTATGCAAGTAATGCGAATAGTCCCGTCGGTGGTCTCCATCACCATCACCATCACGATCATCACCAATCCACAAGCTACGAGAGTCACATGACTCGAACTGGAGATTTGGAAGAGGCGCGCATCGATAGTGCGCATGGCCATAATAGAAATGTGAGCAATTTTGAAGTAGGAAATCATCCGCCTCCGAATGTGAATCTGAATCCTGATTTGAATCCTAACGCAATGACGGTGTGATTTTGGGAGGGTCTTTGGGATGGCTGTGTGTTAACGATTGCTCTTTTTTGCAGGATAATATCGAACTTTTACCTAGGGCTGCGCAGGCGAGAGTGGTGTAGTATAACCGAGGGCGTTTGATTTGGGAAAGGTATGATGATTTGGAATTTTTTAAAATAAAGAAAACCTTTGGCATTATACATGCGGCGATATTGGTGTATATTATTCTAGTGTGCAGATTTTGGCATGATATCTTTATTCGAGCATCGAGCGAGGTGTTTGGGTTTCCGGGGAAAATCTATATTTTTGGTGCGTTGCTATGAGTATGAGGGAAGTTGTTTGTCTGGTACTGTATATTATGTACCATGTATCATTTATCCTGTATGTCTGTCTGTACACATATCAAGACTTCCCTTCTTTCCACTTGACAGGATTTTAGAGTTTAGATAGGTAGATCGATTGTGAAATTCAAGACTGTGATTTTGTTATGTTTTGCCACACACATATCAATCTTTCCCGAACTAGCATTTGGATGGGGAAGTCGTGGTGAAATTTCCCATTATATTTTTGCCTCTTCCGTCTTCCCGTCTGTGAGTGAAACTCATCGTCGCGTGGAGACATGAGTTTGCTTCCACGATGTCATGAACTCAAAATCACAAACACACTTAGTAATTAAGATAAAGATTCTGATATTCGAATAAAATTATCATTCTTTCTCCTTCTTTTCCTTTCTCGTTCTTTTCCTCTTCAAATTTGTTTCTTCTCACTCTACCTCGTTTCATCTCACTTCACTCTCCTCTCCACCTCCACCTCCCGCCGCCCAATTCCATCAACCCAAATAAAATAAATGTAAACCATCTCCTCATCTCCACATACCATAACACCACACCACACTACGTCCAAATCTCTCCACCCTACCCATCAAATCTCCACCCGAACCCATACCCACCTTAAACAACTCCTCTTTCCAGATCATCTTTTCCATTCCCCTAAGAGTAAAACGCCACATCCGTTCGAAATACAAGACAAGAAACCAATATCTACATCTCAAACATCCAAACCTGCAAAAATGTCTTACCTTACTCAAGCCTCAAAAACAACTTTAAACAAGTGCGATAGAAAGAGATTCTTGAGAACAAAGAGAAGGGAGCAAGTGTGAGGAAATATGTTACAGATGACGTATTACTACATCCCTATGTGTAACTAGTAGGCAGGCGGGCAGGTTGGTAGATGCTACTAGATTACGATATCTATCTGGAATTTTGGATATCGGTACATATGCGTCTCTATAGTTTACAGACGGAGTATGATTTAGAAAAAAATAGTAGTGGGTTTTTTGAATAGAATCTTGCGTTGTAGGGCCCCGTGTATACATGATTGTAGGGGAAGAGATGTACTGAATCATGAATGGATGATTCATATTTGCTAATGTGGTAAGATATGTGATGGTTTTTTATTGTTCTTTTGGGGCGCTAGGCTGGAGAAAATGGTATGGAGGTGTGAAGTTTTGGTGATAGGTTTGCTTGGGTGGAAGATTGATCTCTGGATAGTGGAATTGGAGTTTTGAATTGGGACTGGAAATATGTCTTATGGTTAAGTTAAGACGGTTGAATGGATATATTGATTGGATAGAGCGAATTACTTGATTGTTAGGTGAATATCATGATTCGGTCTTCAAAATTCGAATCAAAGCGATTTAGAAGAGAATTATCATGTGATTCAATATGTTTCTTGTATAATACTAGCAGATATGTTATATTGATATAACAGGTGGAAAGCGAACATAGTGATTGACAAAAATAGTCTAACGGGAAAGTATGAGCTAACAGTTATCTTACAACCCTATTTTGAATTTGAATTTCGTATCATGGTAGATGATTTGATAGACTATGATGTCGATAGTGTAAGTTGGCTAGACACAAGGACTACTTGGGGAAGAGCTTGAGTTATATCTCTTCTCATATTCCTAGGATCTTCCTCAGAATTTGTCCAAGATTTTCATGGAGGTAATGAATGCATGTCGACGTTTAACGATAGTTTGGGGAACGAGAATCATGATGAAAATATCAAGACTTGAAGGAATAGAAAAGTCTTATATGGTGATACTGGAGACAAAAAATGTAATGGATGACTTGCCAATGACACGTATAACTCTGGCCATAGCGAATTTTGCAATTTTGTGGTAAAGGAGGCAGGGTTAGACGATATCACGCTGAAGATTTCTGGCTTGTTTTATAACTCTTCGAAATGAGGTAACTTGCTTAAGACTGACAACTGGCTGTTATTTCTTGAATCAGATACCAACATAAGACTTTTAAATGCTTGGTCTCATTTTTATACGATGTAAGAGTCCCTAAATATTGACACCTACAATTCCAAAAAAGTTACAGAACATTGACCATAGTTAGAAATCACATCCCCTGAGCTAGCCGAACCCTCAAAAATACCCCACCAATTACCTGCCCCACACCACAAATCAATAAATGGATGTAACGTGGATTCTCCTACTTGTGATAGGATAAGAGAGATGCATGGAGGACCGCTCATATATTTTGTTCCGCAAAGGTGGAAATTTTCAGTTCACCCCACCTGCCAAAATTTCCCCTTCTGTACGATGTAGGTATTCCAACTCATAGATAACTCGATAACCAACCCTCGTATGATGATAAATTTGAAGCATTCCACAGCTGAAAAGATTCAACAATCTCTCGTCCCAACTGAATGACAAAAGTCTGTATACTTTCTCTCTGGGTTCCTACATGTCATATCTTTTAAACAATTCAAGCCTATTTCTTGACAGTCCCAAAAACTGCAAAAAAGAAGATGCTCAGATATAGCAAGTCCCAGTTTCGATCTGGGGACCTCCGGGTTATGAGCCCGGCGCGCTTCCACTGCGCCAACTTGCTTGTTTGAGGAATTGTTGTTCCTGTTTGATGGAAGACCAACCATCTTCTAAGATTATATTGGAAGTGTATTGAACAAGGAAGTATTGTGTGTTAAATGAATGGGATATGGGTGGTGGGGGACGAGGTGCAGTTGCGGACTGGAGGGAGAGCGGATGGGGGTGGGTCCAGGTGGAAAATTGTTTCCGCTCTATCCTGTTACTTCCGCTGGAGGAAGGAAGTTATCTCTGCTACATGCAGTATCAAATCGTTGGTGCTATTCATGGTCGTTTACAAGTGTATTTGTCCAGCTTTCTAGCAGTATATGTATAGCACAAGTCGTTGCTATCTTCTCTATCCTCTATGAGTCCCCTGCACCATCTTCCATCTCCCATCCTTCCCAGCCCTTTACAATCCATCGCTCACTAAATTCTAAAGTTGTCCTACCGGTAACCCATCACCCTTTTTATAATTGTTATAAATATTCACTTCATCATACCCCATCTCCTCTTTCTCTTTGGCCGAAAGTGCAAAAGCATCCATATAATTTCCATGATACTTTTCTGCCCAATCTCTCAATGCATCCCAATCCAGACACTTTTTGTTCGGTTGTGTCCAGTCTGATTTATCTTGTCCTGCTATATTGGGTACTAGTGTATAATCTGGATTACACATGATGAATTGACGGATTCGGTCGAAACAGTGGTAAGGGTGGTCTAATGGAGGAAGATATGGTTCTTTGGGTAGTCCATAGTCCATGGAATGGTAGAGGCTGCGAATCATACGCTATCTTGTGTTAGAGTTTGGTTGGAAAAAGAGAATGTTCCCGAAGAGGAGGGGGAAGAATGGGGGAGAGCATACGAGACAGTGTAGAACATGATAAGATTCAATAAAATAGATATGTTTGGGCTCTGTATCACCAGCATACAGATGAGTTGCAGTTGACTCTGGTATCTTGTTCTTTTTGACATATGATTCCGGTAAAGCGACAACACCGTGACCAGGTAAAATGTTGTGCCAAGCTTCATTACCATCAGTGATATTGCGTGAAGTGAAGGGGCTGGTGCGAGCGATCCGACGTGTTTGAGAGCGTTCGATACTTAGTTCTGGAATATCTGTGTGATCATAAGATGTTAGTATTACGATGAGTTTTTAAAGCTACCCAGCATCAAGAAGAAAACCTCAGGAGAAAATTACCGGGTGAAGCAAGGCGTTTTTTCGGGTAATTGAAACTTGTTGTTAGGATCAATATCAACTGTAGAGCATTCAAAAGAATTAAGAAGAGAATTGAAATCCCTAGGATGTTCTTGAAGAAAAATATCGTCTTGGAAGGGGCGAGAGAATGAGTTTTTGAAAGAAGTCCTTGACTTGACTCCCTTTCCCCTTTCTTTTGATCATGATAGCCATCTGACCAGGCTTCCGAAGAGCGACGATGATACAACACTTCGGCGGATGGAAGTGTCTCGATATCTGCGGCCGGTATCATCTTAAATAAAGGTTCCACTAACGTGGTGAAGCGCATAGAGAAATCTGGGATGAAAGATTGAGAAAAACTAGAGAGTAACAAGTTTTTGCCAAGTTGCCAAGGGAAATAAGAGCTGAATTATAGATGTGGTGTGTTAACAAAGGATAAAGTAGTTCCCAAGCGAGGGATTTTGTCGTGTTGATGATACAAAGAGATGCTGGGAGACTATTTTGAAAAGAGGTCTCAATAAGAGAAATAAGCGAGCATGAAACTTACGATATTCCATTATTTCAACTTGACAAGAAGGACGTGGAGATAGAAATCAATATCTTAGCTCAGATTAAGTACATGAAAATTCATGCGGAGGGCCTAGAACTTTCTTAATTCAATATAGAAATATTGAGGGTTCAAAGAGCTAAACTAGTCCATCAAATTCACCTCTTTCCGATACAATACCTCCGCTCTCTCCGAACATTTTCCGCGGCTTCACTGACTAGAATGTCACAAGATGTTGGAATTAAATCGACTTAATAAGTCTTTATTATTCTTTATTGAGCTTGTTTTTCAGATGCTGGGTACCTCAGTACACCAGTTCACACGACGGGATTTTAGCAGTGCTAGTGATTCCAATCATTTGAGAATATGAGTTGCCTGTTTCACAGGAAACTATTTAATCAGAGTTAAATCTGGCGGCTTTCGTGTGGGAGCTGATTCAGTTCGGTATAGAGAAGAGCAGTTATGGATAAACATCACCGCTCAGTTGTGATGGTTAGAACTTGTTTCATGAAGATTCATAGTTACCTATCAGTATCTTCAGAAAAAAGCCACCTTCATCAGAAACTTTAATCCAAAGAACTAGTCCTGTGAGTCTTAAAGTATTCAAATACTTTCTTATCAACCCCTTTTACCAGCAACATTAGATCCTTCCCAGCAATCAAAACGCCACATTCAACCATTTTCATAGCCACAACTTCTTAAAAACCCATTTTCTTGGAGGATAAAGACTATTAATTAGACTTTGCCCATTTCCATACAGGAAAGAGACCATCGACAGCCATTACCTCTGAGCTGTTTCTCAAAACCGAAGTATAATAAAACTGGACAGGCAGATTCTTGGCCCAGGTGCCTCCGAAATAAACTTCATTTGTGAGATGATGTCTACAACAAATTCTTTATCGCTTGAAAGCTTCGTCGGTGGTTGAGTGAGTAATGATATAAGATATGTATGTAAGTAATGTGATTCTACCAATTCTGCTTCTATAGGCAAGTTGAAAGCTCCGAGTTTTTAAAAATCTTTGAAATTTTGCAAGCCATTGATGTTGAGTTTTGCCTAGGTAATGTTTCGAGGCGATTTGGGTTATTCTTAGATTCAAATGGATATTTGTGGAGTGAGTAGTACTGTTCGTGGACTGTGCAAGGAGCGGATTACTTTTGCGCAGTCTAAATCTCGGCATCCGAATATTGATCCGAATAGGGATCGGCATCTGTTTAGGTACATCCTGCATGAGAGGCACGACAGTGTAGCTTTCCATGAGTACGAATTTCATCTCAATGGCGGTTGTGTATATGTTATACACATGCTATCAAAAGTACTATCTTCTAGATCTGAACACAGCTTTTATGTCGCAGAACATATTATAATCGCAATGATATCCGCGTAAAACTCATTCAACATCTCGGTGACGGAACACATCCATACACATCAGACAATCACTTTCAGCTTTATAGACGAGAATTCGATGTATCCACTTGAAAAGTCAATCTAGTAGAAAGGTGACTATAGACCACAATTCGAATAAAAAGCTGAATCGTTGGCGAATGTTCTTGGAGGAAAAGTTTCTTAGGTAACCTTTGATTTCTGGACTTCTTTCATTTACAATTGTGATCAAACATCACCACACTCTTTTCTTTCGTAGACGACAGCACAATCGAGTCGGAATTCAAGTAACATATCAAACAATCAAAGACAGAACGAGCAAAATGAGCGCGATCAAATCAACTCAAGAAGGCACAGCTTCGTTCTTGCAAGATACGGAGCAGTTGCGCCGAAAAGAGAGTTTCCTCAAGAGGTGTTCAGACCCAAAGATTACGACCTCTTGAACCAAGTTCTTACAATTGCCTTAATTTGTATTCAGTCAAATCCTATCGAGAACCATAATATCAACAGTTTTTTTAACATTTCTTGGCACGATATACCTCCCATGTCTTATCAAAGAATGCGAAGATGATCCTTTGCCTCCACATGCAGTTTGGATACATAGGTATGTTCGAGGTCACAATGGAAGTCATCCAAGTACAACATCGTCATGTCGTCAGATGTTAAATTCCCACAGCGGTTCCGAAGTTGACGTCGAATTCAGAGGATTCTTGGATAAGAATTGTCAGTTCTTCCTCGAACTTTGCAAGAAACCAAAAAAATTCATGCCAGCCCCAGATCCATTCAAATCACATGCAAACTTTGAACTTCAGCTTGTTCTCATCGATCGTGCGCTCGAAGCTCAATCGAAGGCTTCTGTCTCAGCAAAAGTTGAAGGCAAAATGGAAGACAAGGTCAAGGGTGAAGTTCTAGGAAAACTTTCGGAGTTGGCAGGATCCATCAAATCCGTGATCGAAGTTGTGGCCAACGGCGGTAGGAAAAACATACCAGATAGATTTAATAGTCTCGAATAACCAAGCAAGAAAAGAAAGGAAGCACCAAAATAGAATTGAAGGCAAGAGGTATGATACGACAGCCCATCTTGAGTTCAAAATTTCTAACATACGCAGCTAGACAGTACTACAAACTTCTAATGGCATGTTTCTCAAACGATATTGCACGGGGAGTGAGGTTATGAGCATGTCAAGTTCTACGACGTTGATAAGCTCATCGTATTTGTTGGCACGGTCTTCCTCCCTTGTAGGTGGAGCGAGATAACAATCCGTTGTCGCCCTTGGAACTTTGGAAGCGCAGTGGGTATACCGATGGTAGCGAAGTTGAAAGCACTTCAGATGGTAACCTCATGCTCGACTACCACTGCAACACTAGGTTCGATCGCAATTTCAGAACAGCTACATGGCCGTTCCCTTTTGAATCGAACTTTGGATTACATGGCAAAATTTCCGCTATCACATAGAACACAAACATTTCCGAAAGTATACTGATATTTGAAAATATAGTTTGTGATAACATTAATAAGATCCCTCGATGGATTGGAGACTTCACAACATTGAGCCATTTTCTCCCAATTGTTGGTATGTTCTAACGGTATAACTCGAATGTCCCGGCTAACTTTTAACACCAATAGGCATCATAACAAAAATACTTGACGGCTTTTTGCTCCTAGCACGGTTGATACATAGGCTATAATATGGCGAGAAATTCAGTCTGGGCTCTGAAATGGCATTACGACTTAACGATTAGATGGCGGATGAGCAGTGATAACTTAGAATGGACCGAGACGTGCTTTGCACTTGCAGCTTGACTCTTCAAGTCAGTTTGACTTTATGTTCTTCTAGTATATTAGCAATAATACAATTAGGAGATGATCACACTACCACAGCCAACAGAGTGAATACATCAAATAGAAAACGCGATGATACCAGTCAGACTGTGGAATAAGGCATTTACTACACCTCCATTCTCAAGCAGATAGAGACTATTCCTTGCCATTATCCCGTCTACTGTTCCTAAAACGCCAGCAAATCCTCCCAACTCCCAAGCCATTATGCATTTTATCATATCTTCTGTCTCAACTGCTTCGCAATAATGCTATCATAATAATTCATCCGTGCTGTAGCCCGTCACCCAGTTATTAAAGTCTCCTCATTTCTGCAACAGCGGGTCACCATATCTGGTTTCTGCCATTCACATTAGCATTTCTACTCCCCCTAGCGGCAACCTGCATGGAGAAACTCACTGCCATCCCAGTTCTTGTCAACTAATCCCTCACATGCCCTATCATATTCCTCCTGAAACTTCTTTGAATTCCACGAACTACCAGGCGCACCATGGTTAACCTTTTCCTGAGTAGCGCTCTTGGAAGGTGTGGTAGCTGGTGTGTTAGAATGGTTGTGGGCAGAGTAAAGATCAGGCGGAGAGTCAGGAGCTTCCATTGCGTGGTCTTGTATATGAGGTTCTTGGCTTGAGAAAAGTTCGACCCCAGCTGTTGTTGCGGGTTGTTCTTGATCTGTTGGAGAGTTTGTAAGATGATTGATTTTGGGGTTGAACAACTTGAGGCTGGAGGATGAGAGGTCTTATTTACCTGCAGATTCTTGTGCTGACATTTTGGTAAACTTTTACACCACCGTATCGAGAACCTATAGGCCGGAAAGTATCAAGAGGACAGATCTATTGGTTTGCTGGCAGTGAATATATTTCCCACAATTGGAGATTGTAATAAATGAAGCTCTGAAGTCAAACACCCCACAGCCTTGCCCTGCAGGCTACACTAGCTAGCACTAGCGTGGTGTATCCACACACCAAGCCACATCCCTTGCAAACCCAAAATGTACACCCCTCCATTTTCATCATCCCTCCACAACTCATCACATTTCACTTAATTCTTCAGATAAAAATCAATACGAAAATTTACGAAATCCAACAGAATATGAGCAAAAAAATATCCGCTCCTAGTGCTTGGGACGACGACTGGGAATCTCAAGCCGATGCATGGGATGCAGCACCTACACCGAATAAAGCGGTCGAGGACGAACCCAAAATTTCTAAGGCTGAACGATTAGCAAAACATGCAGAGACTAACAAGAAGATATGGGAATCTGCGTATGTTTTGCTACACGCTTACAGTCTATATTGTTTTGCGCTCTAAATAACTAACACGATCATTCAATAGCGAAACTCCAGGCGGCCTTTCAGAACAATTTCCGTTTCTTCTCCCTCCAAATCTGGCCAAACCTGTTCCATTAGCTACACCATACAAAGCGCCTCTTACACTTCTATCTCGAAAGCCCGCTCCTAGAACAGTTACTAAGATCGATCCACGTACTGGTAAAACGACCACGGTTGAAGCAGAGGAAGAAGAGGAAGTAATCGTGGCAGGTCCAAGTGCTGAAGAACTGCGTGAAAAGGCGCAACGTGAACGAGAGGAAAAGCAAAGAAAATACGATGAAGCCAGAGCCAGAATCTTAGGGACAAGTTCTTCACCAAGAAGCAATTCTGGAAATGGGAGAGGTGGTAGCGGTAGTAATACTCCCAGGAACGGAACCCCCCCTCTGCAGGCAAGGGGAAGAGGTAGAGGGAATGATGGTCGGAGACCTGATAGCAGGCCAGACAGTAGAACTGGGCAGAAGGAATTATTCGATCCGAATTATACACCTAAGCCTGGATCTTTCACAATACAAAAGACATCTAGAAATGGAGAAGGATCACGGTCAGGATCAGGCACATCTACACCGATATCACGAGAAAACGAACAAATTATTAGAGCACCAAGAGGACCCGATGCGACAGGCAGAGGATTTGAATTCGCAAATCGAGGTGGGAAAATGGGTTGATTTTCTGCTCTAGAGTCATCAACTACCAGCCTCCGCCAATCTTATTGGCGATTTCTATTACCCTTTCTGCATCACCAGCATTCTTACCGACATCACTGACGACCTCCCTATAAGTCGTATACACCAATCTATCCAGATCTAGGCCTGTTGTTGTCGCCCAATGCGACAGGGTATCTTTAATGTAAGAAGGTGAAATTCCTTCAACTAAATCGTCACGTTCATCTACACTCGAGGACTCGACGTTTTCTTCTCCAGAGAAGTATGCCTCGTCGACTTGGGCCAGCCACAGTTTCTGTTCTTGTGGACCGGGTTTCGCATCACCTTCCAATCGACTTGTGTTTATTGGATCGTCAACCTTAATCTGACCACCTCCGTTGGTACATCCGCCCGGACAAGCCATAACTTCGACATATGTATAATCGGGGCCAGTAGCTTTACCATTCGGCCGCCTGGCACTTCCAATTGGTTTACCACCTGGCATTCGAGACGGCTTGGCTGGCTTTAATCGTCGAACAAGATTTTGTATATTCCGGAATCCATAGTATCGAGCCGCCTTGAGTAATATCTCGCCATTGTCTGCGACAACAGTATAATCCACAACATCTGCGTTACGGCCTTTGATGGTCTGGACGGATGATCCCTTATGCTGCGATGCAAAATAATGAAGGGCATAATGAAGGTTCCCACCAGAAGAACCAGCCTCGCGGCTACCATTGCCGCTACTTCTGCGATTGGATGGGAAAAGAAAAGAGTTTAATGTTGGATCTGGGAATGGTATGTGCGAGGATGAAGGTAGTGGAGTCCGAGGTAATTTGGAAAATTCGATACGTCTAGAATCTGCGAGCATGAGTAACTCCTTGCTCGTGATAACAGAATCAACATCTCTAACGCCCCGGGTTCCAGTCCCTTCCCAAACGGCGTCGGTCAATTCCTCTCGACTAGCTTCTAACTTTTTATCGAAACATGGCATAACCGCTACATGCCATATCCTATCGGGTGAGATGCCAAGTTTTCGACTTAATGTAGTCTTTATAAGAGTTCCCATCAATGCTTGTGGCGACTTCATCCGTGATAAATGTGGTAAAACGTGTGGGTGTGTCTTTTCCGCGTAACATACCCATCCAGGACATGAAGATGTCAGAATAGGTTTCTTGGTTTCTTCTGCGCCGTTCATAGAAGCTATAACTTCCTCAGCTCCAAGTACCAAACATGCCTCCCTTGTAATATTAGTATCAACCACCCATTGAAACGCATTCCTATAAACCGCTCGATTCTTTATCCCCTTTGGTCCACTGAGTAGATGCTCAATCATATAACCTGCTTCTCGTTCGGTGACCCCAAAAGTAGCCGCGATACTTGCTCGCGATTGTGGACTCACACTTGCGACATATATTTTTCCTCCTTGTTCGAGTCCCTCCACACTTATACCTGTTCCCGTCGCACTTTTATGTAGGCGAAGACCGGGTGCTGAATCTAATTGTGATAATACTTCAGCATGCGATTGTAATGATACGAGAACGGCTTCGGCGGATGTCACACATCCTGAGCATGCGAGACAGTCTGTGAGGGATATTTGGGCAGGGGGTAAATCGGATGGAAGGGGAGCGTCGGTGTTGAAGGATATTTCGAGTTCCTAGACAGATACATTAGGATCAGGTTGAGAGGCGAAGGATGAGAAGATGCATACATTATCCGCAGAAGGCTTCGCAGCAGGTAAAGTCTCGACAGGTTTTATACATGCGACTCCTGGGGATATGAAATCGTTCAAATCGTCTGCTGAGAGAATCGCGCTCATGATTTCGATGAGGGATGCGGACGCTGAATGCGCCGCTTTTTCTTTTGATTTATTATTCTTATAAAGTTGATATCGTACAATTTTCTGCTCTTGTGAGTAGGATTGGAAAGGAAGAAATATATAAATATTATCTAAATGTCGGAGATGTATGAATCTTGAAGGTGGATGAGTTTCGTTATCTTGACAAAAATTCAAAGATTGGAAATCATTTACAATCACAATTAAGATAATTCGTCAAAACTAATTGCGAGGATCGGAGCACGGAGATGGTGGCGTTGACAAGGGTTGTGGAAAGCAGCCCCTCACTAAAGATGCAGTGATGCCTTATAATATCGAATTTATGCCTTGTAACGAGAACAATGACGTAAGATTAATGTTTTTGAGATGTTGGGATGAGCTTTTAGAGCTGAATGCACATAAGAGGCACTGTGACCTTTAGTTCAATGTTGATATCTAATAAGTAAAGACTGAAAAGCTTGAGAATACAAACAACGCTCCTTTCAATAATCATAGCAATCATGGACGTATGTACTTTCTCTCTTGAATGCTGAGGGTCTAGTTTACTGACGACTCTAGGTCTTCTACTCTTACACATATGGAACGGCTGGCTGGCTTGCATTGCAATCCCTCCCGTTAATCATATCACCCACGATCATAATTACAATGCTCTCACCCGAATATCGAGATGCTACAAGTAAGTATATTCCATAATGTTCCATTCAACCTTAAAACTACATTCTAACAGCTCCAAGCACTTGAAGAATACTTCTCCCGGTCTCTTGGCTTCACCCTACTGACCCTGGGTATACTAACTGCTCTCCTGACCGGATCCGTTCCCCTCACATCCTCAATATCCGACACTGCCTCTTCTGCAGTCACCTCTTCCGAAAGCGATCCCAAGGCTCCTTACGCAGTCCCCGTTCTCACGATTAGCACTCTCTATCACGGTCTCGTAGCATTTCACTGCTATGCACGCTACACAACAATGGGTACCTTTGCATTTGCATTGGGATCACTTGGTTCAACAACACTATTTGCGATTGGAGGGTGGTGTTTGCTTTTTGGAACATCGCATGGAAGAATCAGTAAAAAGACAGGAGCGGATAAGAGGACGAGTGGGTTTCCTTTTGGGAATCAGGAGAGTGCTAGTGCCAGGAAGAGAGCTAATAGGAGGGGTTTGTGAGGAGGCGAAAAGAGGATTTCGAGGGAGTTTTGAGGGACGAAGATGGTTGGATTGCTGAGGAATGTTACAAAAGATTGGATACGGCCAATGCCTCTGGCGGGAGATATACAATATAAGCAACACGGTGCTGTGAACTAGACGAGAGCCACATGACATATGGGTGTTATGCTGAGACTTTACATACCACATTGGATATGATTCGCATGGATTCGAATTGACGACTATACTATCAGACATACACCGCATCCCACCACCTTACATATCTATGTCCATGTCAAAGTAAACTTGAAAATCGCCTCCACAAACGGCTCCCTCGCCTCGTTTTGGAACAGCTCGAAACGCTGCAGTCAGCAGCATACTTGCAAAGCACGGCATTAAAGATCTTTTATCCAACTATCTCCTTGATTGTTCCTTAATTCCATTACCGCAATAGGAGTTAGTATCGGAAATGGACTCAGACAATGACCTTTTCTCCGCATGGTTGTCCGTTGTCCGTAAGTCATCTTGGTGTTGCGTTACATCGCGGCATGTATTCACGATGCCAGAGTATAGCGTACTTAGTATACATATCTCACATAGTGAAATATTACCATGTACATCGGTAATCATCTGAACCTCGCAATAACCTCTACCTTGCACATGCGTATTTTCAATATCGATCCTGAAAAAACTGACCCCAAATCTATGGATTTAATCTATTAAACCCGAGCTCGCCAATAGCCGCACCGCCCCTACCACCGACGATGCTGAAGTGGATTTCCCATGATCGATTGCATCGGAACATTACTGATGATATAATGATCTGCTTAAACATTACAAATCTATCTAGGTAAGTATTCTGAGAGCCCTTTGGGCAGGTAGATAAAGCATTGTATAGCGAGACAAAATATATAAAGTCGATAGATAATCCCATTTTACTTCTTGCAATTCCAGCAAGAGCTACCTACCCCACTATTCCTACAATTAGACAGTTGTGTGATTTAGCTACCCCTCCATCACATCTCAAATCTCAAACCTTAATTCAAAAAATAAATACTCAATTGTAATACCATACAAAACCTCAGCAAGTCAGCGAGAGAAGAAAAATCAGCAAAAATGGTTCAGTTACTCGGAAAAGACATTGGTACCACCGGATATGGCATGATGGGTTTGTGTTTCCTCTTCGCCCCCCTTCTCAATCCCTCTCCATCTCAATTCCAAACTAACCTCGCATTCTCCAGGTCTCTCTTGGCGCCCAGAGCCTCAACCCCTCGAAGAATCCCTTAAAACCCTAAAAGCTGCACTCGACAAAGGTTGCAACTTCTGGAACGGGGGTGAGTTCTACGGAACTCCTGAGTACAATTCCCTCACCATCTGCGCCGCCTACTTTGAAAAATATCCAGAAGATGCAGACAAAGTTGTTTTGAGTATCAAAGGTGGTTTAAATCTAGAGAAATTTGCCCCTGATGGAAGTCCAGAAGGTGTTAGAAAGAGTGTGGGTACGTGTTTAGCACTTTTAAAGGGCAAGAAAAAGATTGATATTTTTGAATGTGCAAGAGTGGATAAAAATACCCCGATTGAGGTTACGATGAAGGTTTTGGAGGAGGAATATGTGAAGACGGGGAAGATTGGGGGTATTTCTTTGAGTGAGTGTTCGGCGGAGACGGTCAGGAGGGCCGCGAAGGTTACGAAGATTGTGGCCTGTGAGGTTGAGGTTGCTTTGAACACGTTGGATATTTTTCAAAATGGGGTTGCCGAAGCTTGCAGAGAACATGATATTTTGGTTGTTGCGTATGTATTTCTGATTTCTATGGATGATATAGCATGGCTAATGAAAAACAGATACTCACCGTTAGGCCGAGGTTTGTTGACCGGTGCAATTCAAAAGCTAGAAGATCTCCCCGAGGGTGATATGCGTCGAACCTATCCACGATTCCAGAAGGAACACTTTGAACATAACAAGAAGCTTCTTGATGCTGTGACAAAGATTGCGGAGCAAAAGAATTGTACACCGGCTCAAATCGCTGTCAATTGGCTCAAAGCTATTTCCAAGAAAGACGGCAATCCTGAAATCATCCCAATTCCTGGTGCCACTACAATCGATCGCATTGCAGAGAATGCAAAGGAGGTATCTTTAAATGTAGGCGATTTGGCGGAGCTTGATTCGATAATAAAACAATTCCCAGGTTCAGGTCATCGTTATCCGGAACATGCACAAAGCACACTAGAAGGTTAAAAGCCTTGATAGAAGGAGAGGAGTTAGCGATCATGTAACGAGAGTGAAGTAGTACACAAGGAATATATATCAATTATTATAGCTCAGAATAAATTGTGTAATGTGTTTCTGTCGACTTATAGATACAGTTGCCTGTACCATTCCGAATTGCAGAACTCGAGGGTTATTCATCATCGCGAAGAGAAGAAAATAAATGTAATAGAGTATGAGCTTACCTATATAATCATCACTGTCGAGTCTCGCAGGTAGCTACAGTACTGCTGCTATGTCTCCCGAACAAAATTCATTGCAATTGAGAAAGTTGATGAGACGAAGAGTAGTTTGAAATATTTTATTGGGGAGAGAAAATGTTCACAGGTCCAATTGAAAAAAGTGGATAATTAACAATTACTAGCAAGCTACACGGCAAGTTCCGCAAGCTCTTTGGCTTTGATGCTTCGCGACCGACATCATTGAGTACAACCCAACTGTATATTCGCAAAGCTTCTCTAAACACCAACTGAACTCGAGATAGTTCACCGTTCAGCTCACCTTTCCAACTTTAACCTTCAACGTAATTGCAATCATAAATTCTACTATTTAATTGTTACTTTTGATCTCTCCAACATGGCCGACGACTCACCTCCAGGATCTCCCCTCTCCGATCTTTCCTCAGACGCATTTGACGACGAAGACAACGAACGGATGGCCGCAGATGCTCACATGCCGCCTGCTAAAAGGCAAAAAACGGGCAGCGACGAATCTTTGCGCATCGCCACATCTCGTATCAAAATGGATGGAACAGATGGTTATTGTTCTACTGATACCGAAGGAGACATTCCAGACTCTCCAAGCATCGCTCAGCGACCTGAAGATGCCCTAGATGATTTACACGAACAAATTACTGTTTGCGCATGGCTTGGTTGCACTAAGGGAGATTTGGGAGATATGGACCAGTTGGTGGAACATTTACATCATGATCACATTGATTCTCGACCGAAAAAATACACATGTGAATGGTTGGCTTGTCCCAGAAAAAGCCAACCACAAGCAAGCGGTTATGCTTTGAAGGCACACATGAGAAGTCATACTGGAGAAAAGCCATTTTATTGCGCATTACCTGGTTCGTTGTCTACAACTGGACCTTAGAATAAAGCTAACATGTATTTTAGAATGCGACCGCGCTTTCACACGCTCTGATGCTCTTGCCAAACATATGCGAACAGTTCACGAAACCGAAGCTCTTCGTCCTTCCGATCCTATTCCAAAACACATTCAAGACCATTCAAAAGGGCTACCTAGACATCCTCAACCCAGAGTCGTCATGAAACCATTCCCAGATTCAAATCCGATGGCAGGAGCACATATCTCACCCTTAGTTGAACCCTCGTTAATGGCAACATCATATCCTCCTGAGTTGGGAATTACTTTGGAAGAAGAAGCGAAAGGGCCAATTGAGCTATGGAAATTACTACGAAAGCAAATACAATGGGCGGAGGAGGAAGGCGAGGCGCTAAGAAAGCAATGTGAGATCATGGAAGAAATCAGGAAGAAGGAATGGATGGAGAAGGAAGTTCTACTCGATGTTGCCATTGCAAAAGACTTGGAAATGGAGGCGAAAAGAAAGGCGGCCTTTGCTGAGCTTGCGAAGCTTCCCCGGGAGGAAGTCGATTACGTTATGAACGAAGAAGCAAACTCACCCAGTATTCGCGGCGCTGACTATACAGAACATACACCAAATACGGCGATGTCTCCAAGTAGGACTCCATTTTCACCTAGAGATCTGACGCCATTGGAACAGAGCCAAGGACCTGTTGAAGCAGATGCGGCAGAGGTTTTGACTTCTATGGCACATGCTTGAGGGCGGGAAAGGCATAAACAGGAGTGCATGGAAAGCGGTAATGTTACAGAGAGCTTCTGCATGTCCAGACGTCTGAAGGCTATTGGAATAAGTGTGCTGGAAGGAGTAAAAGGGTTTATGAAATATTTATGAAATCGACTGATATCAATTCGGATAACCAGATGGAAACTAGGGCAAGCAAGGCGTTTTCTGGGGCAATGCGACGGTGTAGGATGGAAACGCAGAGGTTCTGCTTCCGTATGGATCAATAGTCTGGTAGGATTCCAAAACATTAAAGCGATGTTTAATACTATAATAATTTTTTGAACAGTATCTAGTGAGATCTTGTACATTGATGAAAGGTGCTAGAATATGATAAGGCGGATGTCAGACTTAACTATATATGATCATAGAGCTAAGCGATACGCCTAGCTGTTTATAGCACTAGGTAGGTACGTATTGGTGATAAGAATAGTATGCTTCTCTTATAGTTCACTTGAGTGATTTATCAGAAACATATTCTTATTAGTCTATTTGAGTTACTTAGTATCAGATAACTAGCAAGTTGGAGGTTGCCCTGTGGGAAAGTGATTGCACTGCCTACCAGGCAGGTAGATAGGAGGTAATAGTTGTTGTGTCTGAGTTTAGTACAATGAGTTACTTTAGATATTTATGCGATGAAAGAGAGAAATACAGTTAAGGAAAAAGTAAGAATGTAAGACTTACTACTTTCTAGTATCTGTCTTTCCGTCTTCTTTAGGACTTGCTACCTCTTTCGGGTATACAACAGAAAGGAGATGAGAGGGTTCGCTTAATTTTAGACTTTCGGTGTCAGTTTTTGTGATGGGCTTCGTTTTGACAAGTGTCATCTTATTTGGTGTCAGTAGGTAGTATATGCTAGTTTATTAATATGATATAGATGAAGATTTAGTTTACTCTAGACCTGGTTAATGTTAGTGGTTTAGTTAGCCCTGGACAGCTCTAAAGATCTGCAACAAAAAAGATGTGATATGGTTAATTGTAGTCGTACGGGATGGTTCCATTGTAGATTTAATGTTGTTTATTGTTCACCTGATGCTGGGAGCTGATTGCTAAGAGTAGTGGGCAAAATTTCTAGATGTGCAACAGAGGGGTTGAGTATAGGTGGTCGTAAGTCTTACGGCTGAAGATTGAGGGTGCGTTATGGAGGGAAATGAGCACAGCTGAGCTTGCCTCTGAATATAGAGTTCTGTTGCAGACTTCACTTCTCCTTTCTAAGGCTGTGCTACCTAGTGTTTTCTTGCGAAGTATTGTTGATCAAAGTAAGAAGTTGCGAAATGAAAGTAACAATGAAAATGCAAACTAACGACGATATTTCCAAATACAGTGGATTAATCTTCATGAGGAAGATGCTGTATAATTCCTTGATCTTTCCCGAACTTCACCCTACAAGAATTTATACACCTTGGTTAGATCATATGAAAGATGAAATTACCTTGGCTTGCAATCGATGCCGAGCAGTTGGTATTAATTTGCAACTGCATCTTCCACTGGTCTCTCCTCCTGCTTCAAATACCAACAAGCTGACAACGATGTAGTGAATTTCACAGAAGAAGGGTAAGCAAGAATAAGAAAAAAAACTTCGCACTGGGTAGTCTAAAAGTGTAATTTAAAGCAAGAGGCGTAAATCTCCAATTACCAACAAACTACAGAGCTTGTTTCACTTAGAATTACAAAACCAAATATTATTCTCCAAAATGAAATAGACTAGACATCATAATACCATCCAAAACATATCTCTAAAGTTTTTCCCGTTTTTCAAACAGAATCTGTCAAACATCAACCAACTTCTCCTTCTCTCCACCAGATCCCTTACTCTTCTCCACTTGCTCAACCAACTTCTTATTCCCTCCCCCCTTGTTTCCCTCATCATCACTGTCCTCTTCACTATCATCTTCCCATTTTCTCGTCCCATCCAAATCTCCCCTATCGATCCTATTCGAAGCCTCCCTCTCCCTCGCTTTTTCTATTCTCATTCTTTCCCTCTCCTTTTTCGCTTCCGCTTTTCTGACATCTAGTTTTTCAACTCTTTCCCTCTCCCTCTCTTTAAGCTTCTCTTTTTCCTTTTCTCTGACTCTCTTCTCTTCTCTAAATTTCACATCCATCCTCTTCTCGTCCCTACCCTTTCCCGCAACAACCTTACCCCTAAGCAGCTTCTCCATCTCCCTCAATCTCTCAAGGACCCTCTCCCCCTCCAAAACTCCAATGCCAGATCCCCTCTCCACTTCTCTCCCAACCCTACTACTCCGTCTCTCCCTCTCCTTCCTCTCCATCCCACCCCCCACATCCAAATCTCTCAATCTCTCCACCCCCCTCCCATACCCAGGAAAAAATCCCAAATTCTCCGCCTTGAACCAATTCGGCCAATCACTCAACCCAATCAGCCGAAGTTCAAATCTCGTTCTAGGCATCTCATGTTTATACCGACAGTTTTCTGCCCACTTGCATCTTCTATTATGTGTACACCAATGTCTACATGTTTGCTGCTGACCTTGTTGCTGTGTTTCTAGTGTCGATGTGGCATTGCGCGAAGGGGCGTGAATTGATGTTAACAGACCCGGTGGAGAGTGCAATTTTGCGGATAGATTTTTGGTATTTGTAGCTGTGGTCAACGTGGAGGATCGGATGGGTAGCACAAGAGGACTAGAAACTGCAGTATCGGATCTATTTCGCCAAATTAGCACACAATCGCCACAACCCTTCCCCCCCCCCTCAACAACAAACACATACCCGCTACTTCCCACCACTCCATCTTCATCGTCACATTCATCCCCCTCTTCATCCCCTTCCAATCCAACCAACCCGTAAAAACCCCCACCACCTGGAGCACCCGGTTGTGCTCCTTCCTGCAACCCCAAATTCAACATTCCACCTGTCTCCACCAAATCCAGATTCCTCGGTACCCCTATTAAATCCACACCTGGGGGTAGTTCATCAACCGCCACTAGCGGTACGACTTGTCCCGTCTTGCGGACTATGAAGTAGCCTGGTCGAGGACCTTGGGTCGAAACCGACAGATCTTGAACTGTGCGGTCCCGAGCCGGAGCTTCTCTTTTGTTGGTTTTAGTAGACATGTTAGTCTACCTGCGACCGGTTGTGGTAGTTTATGTAAAGAGTGTTCGTCTGATTAATGTATCATGTATGATCTATGGTGGGTAGCACGGAGAAGAAAGGTTGAAGGGGTATGAGGGATGGATATATAATGTCGATGAACAGCTTCAAATCAGGCAATTGACTCTCACACCTCAGCATCTATGAGCGATTGCTCTCGTTTGCCCTGTGATGTATGTTTTGTACTACACAATCAACTGTAGAAAACACGGGACCCGGAAACTCTCTTCTTGTGTATGCCGTTCACACAAACTTTGTTCGATAGAAACGTCCAAATTCTCTTCGCTTGTACCAGCACACATATATACACTTACGCTAATAAACAACATAAGAATTTGCACGTGAAAATTGTGAATTGGATTGTCAATGCAATGGTAAAACAACAGTCATTAGCCCTACTGCAGTCTGGTGAGGTTCTCCTCTACATCTATTCTGTGTTGCTCTGTGCCATCGGGTATCAAATGCATGCTAAGATATACTTGTTTCAATTCACTCTTCCCTGCCAGGGAATTTTCTGGAATCTTTGAATTCCACTCTAACCCTAGCCTCCATACCATCTACACAAAGACCAACATCTTTCGTTGTATCCTCCAACTCCACTTCTCTTTTCATGAATCTGCCTGCCTTCGTTTCCTCTACTTGCCCATGCGTTTGCAAAACAGCTTTGTCAATTGCGATGCTAGAATCTTCTCTCTTGGATTGCTTTTGATTCAAATCAGACAAGCCAACTGGAGCCAAAGCTTCTCTGGCATCGTCTACAGCGTTATCGTCATCATACTCGTCAATATCCTCATATCCTGCTACGGGATCCCATTCTCCCGTTTCCCAAATAAATTTCAAACTCAATGGTCTACGATTCAGCAACCTCCCGACAATCCCCTTGACTCGATAGATGCTGAATGCTTTAGGAATCTCTTTCACTAGTCTGATTTCCTTTTGATCAATCTCAGGGTTTGCAGGAACGTAAAATGTAAATTTGATCAAACGTGCTTCTAAAAATGCAGGATTGATCTCTGCCTTTTCTCTCCTCACCACTGCTGGGGGCCATGAAGGTCACACAACTCCTTGTATCGTTTGTGTTTAGAGAGAACTGTAGATTCCTGCTCTGAGTCCACAGCTCCAAGTTCCTTGCCTATCTCAGAAAGGTAGAACAATTCTGCGTTATTTCGATCTTGGGGGGTAATGCCACTAAAGTTTAATTTTTGAAGGTTCCCAAGACGTGCTAATGTTAACATGAATTCCTCGTTGAGACTTCCCATTGTCGATTCGGCGCTTGTTTCCGGATATATTAGGTTTTTGGATATTCGTAAAGACGTCATGCCAGGGAAAATATGGACGAGTTCATCTACGAAATCCCAACTGTTGATTTTGTTGGAAGATAAATCGATATATGACAACTTATTATTGAAGACTAAGGGGGCGAAAGACTTCACGGCGCCTGGCCCTGTCATCGTTCTCGTTGTATGTATTTTATTTCCTTTCAGAAGTAGAGATTCGAGGGATGTGAGTTGAGTCAATACCTCCAAATCCGCCAGCGATGTGAAGTCATTATACTCAAGGGTCAGAGAGGCCAGAGAATGACTTGTGATGGGTGAACTCAATCTTTTAAAGCCATTTGAGGATGCCGTCAGAGATACCGTGGAAGTGAATCTTTGCAGGAGTATGCAAAGCTCATTCCAATCAAGTAATGTTGAATCTACCTCCAGAGCCTTGATCTTGTTGAAAACTTTCTCACTGGACACTGACACGATTGAATTTAACATTCTGCTTGTATCAAGCTCTAGTCGGTTTCCACTAAAATAATAATATTAGTCAAGCCCAACTAAATATTAGAAGTGCTTACTTTAGTCTTAGAGTCTTCAAATTCTTCAACTGCGAACAGATGTTTTCTATCTCATCTAAAGATACAAACAGATTTCTGCTTAAATCAAGTTCAACAATACTTGGGCATGCTTCTCCGACTGTAAGATCAGTCGCTGTTCCAGCCACCACTTGTGTAGCGGAGGCATCGTGAAGTCTAGTATGAGCCCTATTGATGCGCTGACCATCAACCAGAACAATTTTGAGTTCATGTACCTGAGCCTGTTGCTCTGCAATTTTGTCGAATCCTATCTCTTCTGCTACCTTTCCCGATATAACAATCTGCTTGTCCGGGTTCAGGCCATCTCCAGAAGCGTATTTATGAAATACCGCTTCGACAAAGCTTTGCTCGGGATCTGGTTTTCTGGTGGGACGTATGAAACTTGCTGGAGTCGGTGCATTACTCAAACCTATGTATGTATTAGGAGCTAATCCTAAAGATATCTCTCATGACAGCAACTGACATTTGAAGTACCCTTTCCCATCATTCTTACCCCGCGAAGGGTCGTCCCATTCAACCCCAAGCCATTCCTTCTCTGTATCCTTGACCTCTCCAATATATCGAATTGTACATAATTGTCCTTGGAACGATACCCGCTGACCTACACGATAGTTGTGGTTTTGTGACATTGTAAAAGAGGTTCATTCATGGATTGTGCTCGTTTTGGAAATAAAGCTGCAGCCTTGCAAAGAGAGGCTGAATCACAGCCGAACTTTTTTTCGCGATATCAACATTCACTTTCCCATTGCATCACCTTTACAACGCTTTTAAGCTTTTTTTCCATCACGGTGAAATTGATTCGATATCAATTTTGAAATTGCGACTACTAGATTGATTCTCTCAAAGATCAAAATCTGAAGTTTGGACACGGTTACTATATAGCTCATCAATCTTCAAGTCCACCAGCCTTGAGTCCTACCTCCACCCTCATCACCTTCATCATCCACCCAAGATGGATTACCAAAACCGCGCCGGTAGTAAATTCGGTGGTGGTGGTGTCGCTTCCACCAGTGCAACCAATGCCGATCGTCGTGAGCGTCTCCGCAAACTCGCTCTCGAGACTATCGATCTAGACAAAGACCCCTACTTCTTCAAGAACCACGTCGGCTCCTTCGAATGTCGACTTTGTCTTACCGTGCATCAAAATGATGGTTCCTATCTCGCGCATACCCAAGGTCGCAAGCATCAAACCAATCTCGCACGACGTGCTGCACGCGAGGAAAAGGAAGGCCGGTCTGGGATCGATCCTATTACCGGTTTACCTGTCGGAATGGTGGGAGCGCAAGTCAGTGTTCGCAAGAATATGGTGAAGATTGGAAGGCCTGGGTATAAGATTACGAAGACGCGGGATCCGGTTACAAGACAGCAGGGATTGTTATTTCAGTTGCAGTATCCCGAAATAGTGTCGGATGTGCAACCGCGGGTCCGATTCATGAGTGCTTTCGAGCAGAAGGTGGAGGATCCTGATAAGGATTTTCAGTATATGTTGGTAGCGGCGGAACCTTATGAGACGTGCGGGTTCAAGTTGCAGGCAAGAGAGATTGACCGCTCAAATGAAAGGTATTGGACTTGGTGGGATTCGGATTTGAAAGAATTTTGGGTCCAGATCATGTTCAAAACGGAGAGAGAGGAGAGATATAGTGGCGTGCCGGGCTTAGCTCCAGTCAGATAAAATGAGAGGGCATTATTGCATGGAGTTCGTGGGAGTTAGTAATGGCTAAATTGTACTATAATATGAGATCACAGGAACATCACCAGGGACGGTGTAATCAAGTAGTTGATATTATTTCATTTTTGATTGAAAGTGTAGATGTTTCCCAAGGTATACCCGGGTACATCAATTTTAACCTAATGTTTCCCACTATGATCACATTTAAAAAGTTCTTCCCAACCTTAAAACCCACCCCTATACCGGAAGTCTAGAACTAGGCTGTTTCGCTCATGTGTGCATCCAGTCGAAATAAAATCAGGAAAAAAGAAACAGACCGCTAGATGTCAGACGTCTAATTGTAATCTTGCAGAACATGCAATCAATGGTATCTGGCTAGATTGACTTTTAAAAGGCCATGTAATGACAACTAGGAAATAGAAATACTTCACTCCAGGTGAAAACTTGGTAGAATAACAGATATTCATGGTTTGACCTATGTGGTAGCTGAACAGCTCCATGGCGTACCCGCTCAATCGAATAGTGGAGAGATGTACCGCAATTATCTGTAGTTGGACTCGAATCTCTTGAATGTGTAACCAATGAATGGCAAACTCATCTCTGGTACTTCCTCTCGAGGAGCACCACTATGGGCAGCTGCAGCTTGAGCTTGCTTGAGATGGGTTGCGTTATCAGTTTGATCAATCTCGTCAGTTGGGAAGTATGTGGTATCAACATTGGAAGCCAGCTTGGGCTCGAATGGAGCGCGAATACGACGCAAAGTATCGAACTCAACACCACGGAAAAATTTATGGCTCTTGATTTCGTCTGCTGATACTCGTCCGAGTCGATTCTCTGAATTACAAACAAGACTAGTGCACACAAGGTTAGATTATTAACTCAAGAGAGAACAGTTAAGAGTGTTCATACCTTCGAATGAGATTTTCGGCTTCGGGTCCAAGTTGAACATCCTCAGGGAAGTAGAGATTCGTACGCCAGGCGACAATCTTTCGATATGTGTCATGGGCATCTTCGGCACAGAAAGGAGGCCATCCGACTTGACATTCGAACATGATCGTACCAAGACTCCACCAATCGCAATCATATGAATAACCATGTCCACTGAAAATTTCTGGAGCGATGTAATCAGGTGTACCCACAGTCGAGTAAGCCATGACTCTTCGAGACTTTCTCCAGTCATTGATAACGCTTCGGTTACTAACTGTGAGGTTGATTTCGTCGAGATTGACTGATTGTCTGTTGTTTCTCGGCTTACTAGACTTTCCTTGCAGTAATTGTTGATAATAAGAATTGTCATGTAGTTTATGGAAACCAGTGGATAGACCAAAATCAGTAAGTTTAACATGTCCACCTCGGTCAAGCAAAATGTTGTCGGGTTTGATATCACTATCTCAATTAGTATATGAAACTGAAAAAATAAAAGGGGTCGAAGCGATCCCCTCCTATCTTCAATCAACTTACCGATGAATGAAACCAAGCTTGTGTACAGCTTCAATAGCCAACACAATTTCCGCAATATAGAATCTTGTGATATCTTCAGAAAAGATCTCATATTTGATAAGCATCGTCATAAGATCTCCTCCCGGCAAAAACTCCATCAACATATAAAGGAAATCTTGATCCTGAAAGGTTGTAAAGAGCTTGACAACCCAAGGACTGTCTGATTCGGCCAAGATATCTCTTTCAGCACGAACATGTGCTAATTGATCCTTCTTGAACATCTCAGTTTTAATCAAAGATTTCATAGCATAAACTTTGCCATCTTGCTTCTTTTGCACCAACTTGACCTCTCCGAAGGCTCCTTTACCAATGATCTTCAGTGTGTTATAATTATCAGGTCTGTCCCTGGTTCGTAAAAATCGTAGATATTTGCCCTCTTGTTTGCCTGCATTCGACCATGTTTGTTCTCGGCGCGATTGGGATTGGTTGGGATCAGAGAGACGTTGCTCCATTTCGCTTTGTCTATTGTAAAGACGATTGTTTAGCACAAGTATTAGCATTCATTCTTCTGGAATATCTCACCTAACATTTCGATCTCTGGCCCTCTTGACACTATCTTTGAAAAAGTCTGCAGCTAATTGCGAACATTTCTTTTGATTGTTTTGTGTCAAATTGCCGTATCGATCAGGGTTTCTCTCTGGAGCTGCCTGAAATTCTGGACGAACTTGTTGTGAAGCTTGAGTCGGCATAGGATTCAAGTAGTTTGAGTAACCTTGCTGCTGGCCTGGTGCTCCAGCAGTTCTTGGTCTTTGGCCTGGCGATGCTTGACCTTGACGATTACCATATGGTGAACCTCTGCCCCCACCTAAGTTTTGATGGGAGAACTGATGAGCCAGACCATTCGTAGCGTCATTTTGTAGATTAACAGATCTTTGCTGGTAGGGCTGCTGCTGCTGCTGCTGCTGTTGTTGTTGGTATCCAGCAGGAGCTTGTTGCTGCGGATAGCCTGAGGAAGGGGGGTATTGGTTATTCATGAAGTATCCTGCGGGGGGCGCGAATCCTTGATTGTATGGTTGCTGTGCGCCTTGTTGAGCCTGCTGTTGCTGCTGTTGTTGTTGTTGTGGTTGCTGAGCTTGACCTTGACCTCCGCCTGGAAATATTGGATTTGGGAAAGTTGATGGGGTCGTCGGGTATGCACGATCGTTTGGCGCGAATCTGTCGTTTCCGAAGTTCAAATGAAGGCGGTTGTTCATCGGATTACCATTGGGATTATTATTACCGGCATTACTGCTGTTGGGATCCATCTTAATTGTATTGGTAATGGACCTAAGGGAGCGATATTGGTGAAACGGAGTAGTGTTGTCTTGATCCTGGAGAACAAGAATTAAAGTGTAAGGAAGTCGCGTTTGCTAGTTGTCGAAAGTTCCGTGCCGCCGCTTGGTGCGTTGTTCTCGATGAATTCACTTTTGCTTTTACCCCCTCTCTTGTGATTTACTCTTTGATATGGATAATAGACGAAAGCCGAGATGTTTGTTCACTGGTTCTCACCGATTTGCCAAAAGAATTGAATTGAGAAAAGTTTGGTTGTGTGTCCAACAAATACAGATACAGTACAAACAAGTTTTCTACGTTTATAAAGGGGGGCAAGTATTCAGGCTTTTCCGCACTGCTGATTTCTTGCTTCTTCCTTTTCCCTGGCTTAATTAAAGGGATGAAATTCGTTTGGCTCTGGCTTTGCCTCTGTAACATGTAACTTTTCGTAGCGAAGCTTGGTGCTAGCGTTTTGGATCCAAAATCAATGCTTAATAGTTCTCCTATTGGTTACTCTGATCAATGCTTGCTTGAAAAAGGAAACCCTAGGTACTCGTCAGGGGGCAAAAGAGGTGGACAAATATATTACAATTTGTCTCCCATTTATTAACTATTATATCATACCGTCATTCGTACTACGCTTTCGCTTTGCAGGCCGAACTGAAGTGAAGCTTGTACATCGGAGAAATGAATCTGAAATCCATTCTCTACCCGTATTGGTGGTAACCTCGATCTTCTGTATAAGGTGTCTCGGGTGCATCAAGGAGCAGAGCGATGATCAAGCTCGTACAACTGACTACTCATACATATCTCGAGAGATATTGGATGATGAACCTGATAGCTGCTATTTTGAGAAGAAGGGCTTTCTATAGGATAATTCTAGGCATTCCATGCGTTCTATGCACCCCTTAGATGTAAGTCTCAACAGTGGGAGGTGTGTGCCATGCATATCCCCTGGAAGGTCTAGAAGCCGAACTCCTCTTCCACATTAACATGTCTAGGGATGCTACACAACCTTTCGAATAGCATGTGTATATGGGCCTTGTACAAGAGGTACAAGAGGTACACATCTACACATCACATTGACCTCTACACACTTTGGGCGCGTCACGCAGCTATCTACGGCACTAGGCAAATCACACGCGATATTTCAAGTGTCCTTTGAGTCGAGGTAAGGTTCTCTAATTCTATCGCTTATTGGTCGTTAAATTTGACCACAAGTTAGTTTGGCATACAGCACCTATCTACCTAGGTAGACACTTTGGATGGTTTAGAATTCACTTGTCACGAATTAAGGAGCTTTAGGTTTTAACCCACAGTCCCCGTCGATATCCTACCTAGTGCATGCTTATCTTGAAGGAACAGGGGTCCATTCTCACATGCTTTGAGCCTCAATTTACTACCTGTACGAACGATAACAAAACGTCAAAATATAGGTACGGAGTTTATTTATGCTACGAGCTTTACACGGGTAGACAGAATTCACTGTAGTAAAATTTTACCCTGCAAGCTTTTATGAACGAATCCCACATGGAAAGTTTAGATGATCGATTAATCTTCTGGAACGCGCGTAGAAGCTATTGACACTAAACTACCTTTCTGATAGCTGGGAACAAAAATTCGCCCTCTAGAACGAGAATTTGCTACCATTGGGGTTCAGATTCATAATGGTGGCATCCCGTCGTGATCGATACTAGATAACAATTTCTAAGCAATACCTCATCATTGATCCCCATCATCATCATCAAGGACAATTTCCAATAACTTAGGGTCTCTTGCCCAATCAACACCACTACCTACTATCACAGCACTAGCAGTATTCTTCATGATCCTCCATCTCTGTCTGCTATTCTTCATCGCTCCTTCCAATTCATCCAACTGTGCACGAATATCCGGATCTTGTATGTTTTCCTTCCCCTGACTATTCGCCTCTTCTGCTAGAGCCAACATTTCTGTAGCCAATTCGACGTTCTTCCTCCCCGTGATAATGTTCTCATTGGACTCTCTCATCAACTCTTCTCTTGATGATTGGATTTTGCTAGATATCTGAGCCAGATTTTTAGACATAGCATCACGTTTTTCGATGAGTGGTAGGAGGTCCCTACTCTTGTGTCAAGAATGCAAAAAAGGGTTTGAAGGAAGTATCTTACTGTTCTATGACTGAAGCATTACTACCAGCATGAACTGCCTTCAATATGGGATTTGCAATAATCACATTCTCAATGATTTCCGACCGCAGTGAATAATTGGCTTTTGACTCAAGAAGGTCTTTCTCTGCCTTTTGGATAACTTCATCGGTGACTTCTTCTTCTTGCTCTAAAAATTGTCAGGACACGTGCTTTCAAAGTTATGTATATAGAGATGAACCTTCTGAAGATATAACACCTTGAGCTTTCAAGAGAGCGATTTCGACTTGTAGTTCTTCCAATTTATCGTACACTTCCAGGATGCGTTTCTCTTGCTCGCTCAAAGGAGGCATGTAGTTGGCTGGTCCGGTCATTTCAACTCCATCCATACTTTCCGCATTTTCTTGATGCGACATCTTGATTTGTAAATCTGCCTACGAGTCATAAGCTACAAAGAAATCCAAAAGTCCACAATCTGTTGTTCGTGGAGAACGCGTCTCTCATCATGCCATGAAAACCCCATACTCAGGTATCTTCAGATTGAGATTGGTTCAGCGAAGGTCAGCCACATTTAGTGTGGCACACCGTGTACCAGATAAGGTTAAACCGCGAAAGCACATACTTTTGAAAATGCCATGTGAAATGGATCGATCAATCAATATATTAAGATAAATGCAATGGTATCATATCTCTCTACCTATCTCAAACTCGAATTCCTTTCAAATCTTTGAAAAACATTATTGTATGCTGGAGGTGTTTTCAGGCATTCATTAGCTTTGAGTGATAGGAGTGTGGCTTGCCGAGATAAGGCGGCCGACCCTGAAGCTTAAGCTAAGTTACGGCGGTCTCGAATTAGCCTTGTGATCTTCACATCTTCAACATGCGACAAGACATCTTCTACATCCCATAAGAGGAAAACTAAGTTGGAAACTCGCTGTAACTGTGAAATGCATACAAGATTATGGAACTTCACGTATACATTGCCCATACGGGCCAACATCTTCAGGTAGACCCTGGATCCTTTACCTCGTAAGTCTGCGACGTCATGTCTACCCAGATCATAAATGCTGATAGCACTCAAGTTTGGACGATTTTAAGTTATGGGTGGCCAAGTATACACCCATTGCCGCCAGCGATCACATATCTCTTACCGCAGCAGCCAAAGCAGTGCGATTTCAAGCGCTTTCCTCAGAGGTACCCACGCCGACATTTCCCAACCCTACAATTGCTAATCTTGGTACAGCAAGAAATATTCGTATACGACAGGCGCATCATTCAGCAATCTTCTATAGCATCTGCGAAATCATTGATCTCTGAAATCCCCTTACCGCGCAAATATATTATTTCTCGATCCCCAGATTCGATCACAAACGAGAAGGACCTACAAGCATGGCAAGACTTATTCGTTGAAAGACGGGCATGGGCTGCGAAGGTAGTGGAAGATTGTGCTTTCATGTCTGATCAAGCGCAGCAAAGGTACATTGAAACGGAGGTTATTACTCGGTGTGTGGATACCGCTGTTTTGAACCTGGAGAAGCATGTCAGGGCACTGGACCAAAAGAATGCTGAGGTTCAAAACTACGTCGAAGAAATGCAGAAACTCAATATCGCTGGCGGGGACTGGGAATTATCAATGACTCGATTAAAGTCGCTACCTGCGACTGCAGACGTGATTAAATTTATCACGGGCCGTGACTTGTCGAAGACGAAGCGCCAAATCACCTTAGCGGACTTGGTTGATGCGGAAGAAGTCAAAAGGTCTGGAAAGCTGTTAGGCAAAATTTCGAAAAACCTCGAGCGTAGTAGTGTAGAAGCCGGACAGGAAGTCGACGAGGTCATGCGAAGGATTGACTATTTAATTGAGAAAGTCGAAAAAAGTCCTGCACGAGCGGCTATTCCACAATCACAGGAACCTATTGCTTTACTGGAGGACATTGAGGCAATATTTAGAAAGGTCAATACTGACTGTGAAGCCATTCTTGGCTTTACTAACACACCGAAAAATATTTCACAGGCTTCGAAATCGGCGCTTCTTCACACTGATAAGTTTTTACCTTCGCTAACTAAAAGGGCTCTCGAGATGGAGGAAATTGTGCAGACCGTTACGAAGTTGCGAAATTCCACTGCAATATCATCCTTAGAATTCATGTATGACATCGCCAGCTTAACAACAATGCTTGCAGAAGTCAACAGTCGATTTGCTGCCCTGGAATTGGATGGTGATGGAGTCAACGCCTTGCATTTGATTTCAATGCTCGACATGTTACCGGTTACTTTTGTCTCATTCTTGGCTGAAGCAGTCAGGCGCAGTGAATGGGATGAGAAAGTCAGATCAGATTCCTCGACCTTGGCCAATGAAATGGCGAATTTCCAAGAAGAAGAAACGAGGCGGCGACGAAAGTGGCAGAAGAACATCGGAGCCACTTTGTGGGACGAAAAGCCCGAGACGCAAGTCATGGCTTTGGAAGTTGTCTTGCATGAGGAAGAGGATGATTGGCCTCAAGCTTCTCGACGGGATTTAGAAGATATTTTGGGAATCCTTAAGGCTGAAAACCTGAAATCACCGATGCTTAACGACATCTCGAGAATCATTTCTGATCTCAACAACCCAACGAGACAGCAAAGTAAGAGGGCAAATGCTTTTAAGGCAGGAAGTATTCACGAATCAGCCCTTGGCAAAAGTGCTCTTTTAATGCGTGGGGACGACGAAGCCTTGAAAAGCATGCAAGATGAGAAGTCAAAGCTTGAGAACAAATTGAGAACCGCTGAAAGTCGAATTCGAAGGCTTGAGGATCTATTGCATCGGCAAACACAAGCCAACAGGACTTCAATCGGCAACGTGTTTTCAGTGCCCAATACACCTAGCC